CAAAGGTTAACTGACAGACACACTTCCATAACGAGATGATCAAACTATAGCACTTCAAGTTACACGAATAACACAAATATGGTGTGAGGTGTACTTAATCTAACCTAACCCAACCAATCATTTCTGTAGTTACTTACTCTTAGGTGATGAAACAGTATTGAATTGTGTGTGAAGATTATTATTTTAATAAATATTGTTTTACTCACCATAAATTGGCTGCATCTACCTGAACCTCAAGACACGACAGAATTTCTCAATGGCACTGAAGACCGAACAAAGAAATGGTTCAGGCCGCGGGTTGGACTGTACTGAGTTTTATCCTCTTAATCACTGATCGGCTCGTTAGCAGCTTGGCGATCGGTCACGACTCTGTTACTCACTGTACGAGTACTTTACTGTTGAACAATAGCAAAGTATCCTGATGAAGAACAATAAACTACAGAGACACACTGACCAAGAAAGTGTTATTATTATAGAGCACAAGGATAAACTTTACTGAATCTTGGCAACAGCAACAGACGACGGCTGCTAGAGGCCGTGTGTATGATAGTTTATAAATGATCTTAAAAACTTTATTTCTGATCAGAGAAATAATAATCTTAGGGTGTATGGAAGGATTTTTGGAGTTAAATTACATTATTTTAATGCTAATTATTCGCCAAATAAGGGTTTCCGATGTACGACTTGGGTGTTTTTTTTTTTTATTCTTTAAGTACTTAATTAGTTAAACCATTTAAATTCCTATTCCAAGAGAAAAGTATAATTTCGGTAGAAAAATTACTAAGACAAAAATATGACTTAATATTTTGTCCAAAAATTAAATTGTTAAAAATCTCAGTATAGGAACCCCTGAACATGCTGATTCCAAATATATGGTCCATGATTGGAATGCAGGGTGATTGTGTATCTTTATATTCCTTAGAGTTGTGGTTTAACACATTAAATACATGTAATAGACACCTCTCTTTATGCAAGTTTTTTTTTAAACAATTCTATTTTATTACAAGGGCTGACATCTGCACAAAAAAACAGGCAAGAATACCTACATTTGTCTCATTCATAAAGTAGCTCTCGTGAGAAAGACTGGGAATCAGTCCTTGGAGCATTACATTGAACCACCTTCTGGGTGTTCTCTCCTCCACAGAATATCAAAGATGAACTGGAAAAAAAATTGGCAAAGACTCCTGGAGCCACCTACTGATCAAATGATGAACTTTGGTCATAAGAGATTTTTCCCCAGATCTCAGTTTACCAGCAAGTACTCCACCAAACCTTTTTTACCCTAGATCTTTAATGATGCTTGTTATCAAATTGATTTCTTGTATTTTACTTATCTGTACTGTTAAAATTTCACAACTATACAAACTCTGTACATTGAAGCCACTTACAGTCCTACTTCGATAAAGATTCACAAGGAGCTATCTTCCAAGTACTGGACAGTATTTTGTAAATTCCATCAACTAGTTTTCGCCCTTGTCATTCATAGTAATTTGGGGCATACTCACATTTGTTACAGCACCCGACTGATCAGGAACAGTCAGGTGAGGTCATTCAGTGACACCACAGACCCGAAAGCAGTCTCGGTGGATCAGGTTTGTTGGGATATTCTTCAGGAAGAGGTACCCGCCCTATGGCAGTCCTGAGAATATAAAAACCTTTTTCACCCTCCAAATTTTGTATTATTGAAATTCAAAACTAATAGAACATGAGTTTGTTGGTGACAAAGTTTTGTTCCATATACAGTACAGGGTACATTAAAAGATTGTCAGTTTTTTACGTGTTAAATAATCCCGGCTCATCACGAGCATGCAGAAACACAGCGCCGCTAAATACTCGAGCACTGCAAACAGTATGTCGAGAAGAAACAAAAACATCTGCTTGTAGAGATATGTTAATGCACCTGTCGCTACAATTTGAAACGCTAGACAATATACTTTGATGTAATCCCCAGTGCATCATCATAACTGGGTACGCTTGCTCGCTATATCAGCAACAGTTAAGAGATGAAGGTAGGATTTGGGGAGGGAGTCGTCCTTGTATGGCATACTAAATACTTCAATTTAACAAGAAATCAATTACCGTTAAGTGAAATTAATGTATGTATTGTGCTGGGTAGAAGCAAAGCATAAATACACAAGCCACTGACTGATGGATACAATAACACTAAAATATACTGTACATTAAATGGAAATGTTTCGGTACATCATAACTGAAACTGAGATGGACCTCAAAACGGATATTTCATAATTACGATGTACTAACAGAGTTTTATTCACACCATGTTTCACAATATGCCAACTCATGTTGTTCATGATAGGTATCTGATTTATGAAGTGACTTGCCAAATAGTATTTGATATCAGAGTGATATACCATATTACTGTATTGGACTATATGGGACCTGCCATGTTACCGATATACAAACTGCATTGGTTTAACACCAAATTAAGGTTTTAAATACCTGTAAAGGTACTTGAGGCAACAAACATTTGTGGTTGTAAGTTTCAATTGGGACCAGTTGTTTCTTGGTCCCTAAACTGATCGTCATACTGTGGGTTCGCTGTGCTAACTCAGCATCACATATACTGTACCCTATTGTGAAGGACAATAATAGCACCTTCAATATACAGCGATGTCTCCTCAATAATTACTCGTTCCATTCGATGTTGATGATTAGCATGGCACTGGTGTTCGTTTACGACATCCACTCCCGTGTCATGTAATATATAACCTGAAGCCTTGTAGGCTTCACATCATTCAAAAACGTATATACTGTACTATACTCATTAATGCTCATAGGTCGTGAATGTAGAACTACCAATCATTCAAAAACAGGTCAAGTATCATTGCTCAGAAAGCCTTGGCTAACGATACTATTTTTGGGACTGTACATGATAATTGAAGTTCCTAGAATAAGAAATGTAAATTTCATATAGCGTAGCAAGCACATCACAATGGAATGTGGCTCTATTTAAAACCTTATCAATTATTTTTAAGTGGCACAACAGCTGAGAACCAAACTGGGGCACAATATTCAAGGATGGTTAACACAAATGAAGTGAAACAGAATGTAATATTAATATTCTGAAACTTTAAATAATTTATAAACTATAAATACTTTGTAAAATGCTGAGGTGGCTACAGAGTAAATGTGATTAGGTTAGAAATTCTTAGCAAGTCACTTGCTAAAAGGAAAGGACATAGTATTTCAAGATGAGGAATCTGCCTTTTCTAGCATAACTTCGCCCTTCCCTGAGCTGTTTAAAGTACAACAGTACGCACCATTCATGGCTATTCATATTTCCCTCGTCTTCTCGCTTCGTGCTGTTGTCAGATGACTCGCCGTACGCCATCCGTCGGCCATCTCAGTGTGGCCAACACTTGGTGAAATATAACCTTCAAAACAAACCTCACTAACACCAGAGAATAATAGTTTCTATGCAGTATCCCATAGATATCCTCTTAATACTTTTAGGTTTCTTTGGTCATGTGTTTTTTTTTCCAAAGTTTTGGTTAAATTTTGTGTGTGTATTTGAGGGAAATATGATTGGGGTACTCGACGCCTAGGTTGCGGTAACAGTGGGCCATTCGGCCGATTGGAAATGTTGGTAGCCCTGCCCAGTTTATCAGGATCCCGACCCTTCGTAGTGCCCGAAGCAAGTCCTTGAATGACCTTGTCCTACACATGCGTATGGTGCCTGATGGCCGGGCTCACTATCATGTATAACGACTGTGAATATGGTCCTTAACCATCCACCTTGATGCCTGGTTTTGTACATTTGTTTTTATGTAAGTTGATGAGATGTCTTGCCTTCAAGTATTTTCTGGTACAGTACAGTATTCCCTCGCCAACCACGTGGGTTACGTTCCTGGAAAACCCTGTGGTTGGTAAATCCACAGTTGGTAAGATTAAAGGCTTATGGGAAATAAGGGGTTAGGTTCTACGGCCACCTAAGTTCACTGTTGTTTCACAAAACAATATCTGCATTGTATATTTAATTAAATTTGAGTCAAATACATTAAAAATAGTGTCATAGAAATTTAACAGTATGAGGGATATTTACCATCATTGAGGACGATGAGGATGATGTGGAGGAAGAGGGTGACATTTTCCGTGTACCGTTGGCCCTTGTCGTAGCCTCACTTTTCTTAATCATACAAATTGAGGATTGGTTTACGCCCGTTGAGCGTCCCACTGACTCTACGCTCTTGCCACGCGCTAGTCTATCGAGCACTTCAACTTTTTTTTCTAGAGTTAAGTTCCTTGTCCTATTCACTTTCTTCTCACCTTAATCACTAAAATTCAATGCACACTTAAGGGCCATAATTAAAGGCAAAATCAATGTTATTAATGAAAAAAATACATAATAAATATCCAACGTAAGGAGCAATAAAATACGTCTGTGCGGTACAAGATAACAACACAGAGCGTGGTGGGAGGCTGGACGTTGTGCGGATGAATACATTGGAAGGAGAGAAAATGAGTCCAAGCTAAACCGTGGTTGGCGAGGGACTACTGTACACGTCTTCCTACTTTTGTATATTCCACAAACACATTCTCCAGTTTGTATGACATTATCTCGATTCTGCTTACATAACACTACTGTACATCCTTCCATTTTGTGCATGAGTCTTAAGTACTCTCACATTTAGTTTACCTCTCATACTGTAAGTGTCTTCACATACACACACCGTACTCACAGAAACTGTCAAGTCTTCCATACTTGCCTCAATTAACCAATATTTCTTCTTGTCTACATCTGCTCAAAACACAATTTCTCAAATAGAAGAAACTCTTCAAACTTTTCCACAACAAAGTTCCTCATCTAAGGCTTCACAATACTGCATATTAAGGCCACATTATCATTGTAGTCTATATACACAAGTTACTTACTCATGCTAGTTAACTGTTCCTCACACCACACTGTACTCTTCTTGTCCTGGTGTCAACATTTGTCACATAAATCTTTATATTTAAATGTTCACTTGACAGACAAATACTTCTAAATAATATTTTTATTGGTGTATTACACCTAAAAAAAGTGTACATAGCTACAACATTTAACACTTCCATAAAGAAAAATTAAATAAAATACTAGCTACTAGCATTTTACATTCAATGCATTGTGTACAGAAACTGAAGTAATTAAACCTAAGTCTTATGGAGCATAATGAGTCATAATGTACAGCTTCTTATACTGTGCCACACCACCATCAACACGTCACTAGTTGGGAAAATGTACACATCTAGTGGCTAACAGCTAAGTTATTTCTGTGTAACATCCAAAATATGAGACATCCAGGGCTTCCGAGAGTGGTGTTAAGAGGTATCCTTGGGTATGCACAAAAGGTTACACCACCCAGGGTACGAGTGATGCACTGGGCCCAGGCTCGTCTTCAGGAGGCATACTGCGGGTTGTCAAACATTCACAATACTTTCTACACTCTGTGGCTCTCAAAATTCTCACATCATTCAAATTACAATGTCTACAGTTACTTTTTGACAATGAGGCCGTCAAAATGTAAGAAGCACACAGAGTGACCGCCACACGAGTCCACCTCATCAACACAGCCCGGTGGCCTGATTAACATCTTTCACCAACAAACAGCTCTTCATTATTTCCCCAAATATTTTGAATAAATAGATTTGAAATGATTCCTATGGCCTGTTTTAAAATCACAGAGATCAATACTTTTATGAACTAATTATATAATTAGTGTTATAATTGTTTAGTAAAAGAACCAGGTAATATTTGTGTAAATAATAATAAACGGGCCAGAGGTCGTCTTTTCATAATCACAATCCGTCAGTTGTGACAATAGGAATTTCAACGAAGATCCAGTGCTGGGTCAAAATGATTCATCACCACGCAAAATGTAGGCACAGTAGACTCCATACAGTACCAAGATTCTTAAATCCTCCACTAATCATCTTAGGTGAACTAAGGAGGACCATATCACTGTACAAATCTTAATTTATCTTACACAGAATCAAAAAATAAAATGCTTCTCGTTCTATGGTGGCATTTATGTACCCAGGTGTTGTTGGTAAGGCATGATGTAGTGGGACCTCGGCGTTGCGACACTTTTCAAAATTAGAGGCAACGTGAGGTATGTGTCCTACTCCTACCAACACCTGATTTGAAAACATAACCTATGACATGGAGGGGTTGGTAGTAGTGGTGGTTTGTGGGGTCAGGTAAGTGGTCAAGTATAAACATACCCTGCCACCAAAAAGTAATTGGTGCAATGTGGCAAAGAAGCAGTGTTAGGGTTTATGACATGGAACAGGTTCTGCAGCATTACTTGGTTACTTCCAATGCAGTTTGAAGGTAGATTTTCAGAGCTAAATCTGACAGGCACCAGGGGATGATTTATTCTTTGCAAGAGTAAATAAAACTACATTCTAAAAGCCCTGCCCAGCTTAGCTATCACTGTGTCCAGTGAAACAAGGCTTTAGAATTTTAGTCTCATAAAAAATGTAAATGATAATATTGAGCATTAAGCAGGAGTGTTACAGTGTTCTTGTTGTAACAGTCGAGAATTAATATTTATTGTTTTTATACATCACCAAAAATTTATTATCCTTTGTTGAGAGAAGTTTAAGGTTCAGATCCATGTCTCATTCCTTCTGTACAACAAAACCACTATGTACCTTCCACTTATGGTGGATCATCACAAAATTTATGAATCTGAACCCTCACTTTCTCTGTTTTGTCTTGCAGTCCTGAGTTGAGACCTATCACAATGTGAAACAAAAATCATAATTAAACTGGTTCAAAGAAATGAAGAAACACTGATGACAAAAGGGAACAACTCCCACAGGCAAACCCACACACGGAATGAATACAACTGATGTTTTTTACTACAAAAAACAAAAAATAAAACAATGATCTTCGTGAAGAGTAACATAACCGAGAAGTTTGTGCAGTATAACTTTGGTCAAATAATGAGGTACATACTCAAGAGCTAATGCCTACTCTTCTCTCACTTACAAAACACTATTTGATTTTCCAAATTAAAGAAAGAGCTAATGCAGTACTCCATGACTGGACTTATTTTATGGCATTAGGACGAAATTATCAACTGTGAACTACACCTTCATGTTTACTCAAACTGGCAAGGGTCATTTGATCCGGCACCGACACATGTCTAATGCCAAACATGTGGACCCTGTAAATGTTAAATAATAGTGATAATGTACAACCTGTCCTGCATTGTTCCATCAACATAAACTTGGTACAAATGTATGAACAGGACAGGATGCAGCACCACATATATCCAATGTCACCAGTCACTTTTGAAATCTGTGTATGATAAAATCTTCAAGATTGTTTGTGTATGTCTCAGCCTGACCGACCACTGTTACTGTCATAACCACCAAGTACAAATGTGCAACTTTTACGCACACTTTGATTCAAAGATCAGTTAGCTGACTCAGCCTTTTCTTCAGTATCCTTATTTTGCCATTACCTGTATGCACACATCAGCACTTTATAAATATATATATAAATATATATATAAATATAAATATAAATAAATATATATATATATATATATATATATATATATATATATATATATATATATATATATATATATATATATATATATATATATATATATATATATATATATATATATATACCGTATATATACTTGGTTGGAGTAGTGCAAAAATCTCATACCATTCCAAACTCACTGCTCAAGGTATAAAAGTCCCAGAGTTATAAACTTTTCCTCGGGTAGATTCCCACTTGTTGACTTCCATACCAACTGTTTCCCACTGTCATCTTTTGTCCACTGATCAATTATTCTAGGAGCATTAACAGTCGCACATCACATCATTAGCTACTGGTTCGTGCTTTCTTTGAGCCATTTCCTACATTATCCTTGTTTGAGCGTTTCTTGGAGTCTGACCCAGCTTTCTTGGTTGGAGATTCGTCCAAGCTAATCACCTCCACACTGCTGCCACTTCTTCGTGTTGGTCGTGACCCCACTTTGGTAATGGTAATCTCCTTGCTAACAGTTGGCTGTAAAAAATAAATAAATAAATAAATAAAACAAAATAAAGCTTTAATTCTACTTGATGCATCACTTAACCTAAAATCATGACTAAAATAATAATGAACTTACCCAAAAATTAGTTCTACATCTACATAATGTAACATACTAACCTGCAATGGCTTCATCTTTCTTACCACCAACTTTATATCTTGACTCACTAAAGCACAACTAGACTCTTACTTACCATCATATACAATTCTTCCTTCCCCACCTCACCCTATACAGTACTCTCATCCTGAAATACACTAGTTATTATTCCTCCAAAATCACACGACTGTACCACTGTTGTTTATCAGTTCCTCTACACACATTCATGTTAAAGAGGATGACATTTTCAGTACATACATATGCTTGTGTGAGCTGAAATGACAATGGTAAGGTGGATATATAATGTGATGCTGAGAGATAGCAGACCCTGTTCAGAGGTAAGAGCAAGACTGGGAATTATGGAGAGGTTTTGTGTAGAGGTACAAGATGGTTCAGGCATGTGGAGAACAGTTGTGTCAAGAGATGCATGTGGAGGGAAGGAGAGCCAGGCATAGTCTAAGAGAAATGACCTTAGTTAAGAACCTAATGGGAGAGGCTGAAAGAGACAAACACAGCACGGAGAGGCTGTAAAATTATCATCTCTAATAAGTGCCATTTATCATCTTAAGTATTCCAAGGACATCAAGCCATCATCATCTTTGTTTAATTCAAATCATCCACCACCTCAAAAGGAGAATATAATGACGTGCTCTCACACCAAGGATTAATCTGGACTCGCTCATCATCCATATGTACAGAGTACTTCTTCCACACTGCAGAATTAAATCACACAAATAAAAAACCACATTTCATCCATGTTAGGAATAAAATCCAAGTTGGATGAAGTGGGTGACTAAGGTCTGTACTCTCAGATCACCACCTTTACTGCCAAGTCAGTACTGATGAATAAAGAAGACTTACATTAGGATGAATTCAAACAGATGCACAATGTAAATGCAATGGGAAGAACACATAACACCTCAATCCTTCCCTGAGAAAGTGACCACAACAGAAATCAGTCTCCAGGCTGCCCTATCACTACATGTCTCTTTGTCTTGTCAACTCAACTGTTCTTTCCTTAAGTATTGTTCCACCTTCACCATAACCTTCCTCTAACTACTGCACCTGTGCACTCTTTACTGTCCTCTCACCGATACCTATTGTAATTTTATTTGTTACTATTATTACTACTAACCATTATAACTCTTTCTGATGACAACCTCCAGGCCAGTATGTTTAGCTACACCCAAACCAATGATAAAATACACACGTCTCTAAATGTTTATTCATAGCATCCTTCTCCTACACCTTGGCTAACTCTCAGTGCATTTATGACCATCACCAACAGCTGTGAACACTCCAATGACAATAATGGTGACCTCTCCCCACCAACCCCTACCAGATCACAGTCCAGCAAATACACATCATGGTTTGGCAATCTTGTTACCATTATGACACCTGTTACACTATCCACCATTCAACATAATGCCTCCCCTCAATATGTACTCCTTCTCACAAACATTCCAGCCAGTCCTCCTTACCACACCATCATATCTATCCACCCCCTTTATGACACTGTGGAACCTGTAGTCCTTGATTTTAACTTGCTACTTTGAGCTAAAACCTGGAACCTGTATAGTAAAATAATCTTACATAAATATTTTGGTTCATGATGCACTACCTTGTCAAATATTTCACTAAAGAATCCAAGTAGTTACCAGTTACAGTCCATGGTTAAGGTTTTGCTTTACTCTATTAACTCCCCTCATACAGCTTACATAATTCTGCTCTCATTGTAAACATCTTCCCTTTTCATGACAGCAATTTATTTAAAAGTAGTGTCAGTGACCATACACATCCCAGATCTGTACTTGATGTGTTTCATTAAGCTCTTATTCTCCTTCCCCTCATATTAAACATTTCTTGTGACTTACCTTCAAGAGACACTTCCTGATACATACATAGTTAACTATCTTTCCTTCACTCCTAAATTCCTTTCCTATTTTGTTAACTCTTGTCTACTCGCCACTACACTGCCTTATACTATTTTTGTAAGGTAGAGATTCTAAGGAAGACACAGAACAGTTCATCAATTACTTATAACTATTTGTCTGAAATGTGAGACATGTGCTAGACTCACAGGAAATATTCCAGAGACAAATGTGGTCAAAACAAAATGACAATCGCCCACATGCACATTTGTATAATTTAATACGCTTTACATCAACAACAACATAGTAAGACACTTTTGTACTTAGGACATGCACGGTAAACACTGTATGGATACAAAAGTGCACATATTATGGATAACAGAGTAAAAGCACAAGTATCTAGTCAAGGTACAGCACAAAACACTATAAATAGTCAAACATCTTACTAAATGCCAGCAAACTTTGTTAAAACATCACATGACTTGAATAAATACAGATACAAAAAAGTGGTATAGTGTGAGAGTTGGGACAGTCACTGTCATGTTGGAGGCCTTAGTTACCTTCTATGTGTAAGTTAGTCACAAAACATCATCAGTTACTTGCTTATATTATGTACAGTATGACTAAGACAGTAGTTAAGTTAGTAAAATAGAATGTACTGTACACAATGAGATATGGAGAGAGTAAATGTTGAGAATATGCCTCAAAAAACTAGACATGTATAGAGAATGTATCGCCATAAATTAGTAAAAACTAGATACAAATACTAACTACTGTACTGTACAAACTACATGTTTATTATACAGTACAAGACAAGAAGGAACACCTATCATGCTCACTGCTACTGTTACCTCATGACTGCTACATCATTATACACAAACTAATACCAATTGTGGCACTTGTTATTTGCATTACGGTACTGAACATTCCCCGCACCAAAGTGAGGGCCAATATTTGTGACTACTTAATGTGAAAGCAAAGTGCAATATAGTAATGAAAGGCTAACATCCTTTATACTTTAACCTAACGATCCAAAAGTTTGACAACTTGAGGCAGAGTTAGTGATGAGTGACCACCTCTATCAAAGCTGTACAGTAATATACATACTAATGTTCCTCCAGCTGTTGTGTGTATCAACACAACCAACAGCAAAATCACTCATGACATTAACTAATAATGTTCAAGTCCAATTTGAGGAGAACTTTTGGTTCGATCTAACAATTCTGCCACTGTTGAAGGCTGAATACTGTATACTGTATTTGTACTGAAGAAACATTCCCACTCATAATTTCTTTAAATAAAATTCATTACAAAATTGGAGATAAAAACCATTGTACAGGTGTGTAGAGTTTTATATTATACTAAGGTCAAATTTTGATATGAAGATTAAGTCAATTTAGGATACAAGGGCCATGGTAGTTTTATTAACAATCTAATTGCAAAACCAAAGTACTAGATCACAACTTTACGTTATGACCTTGTACCAGGAGGCTCACCTGTCATGGTAAACGCGACCCAAGCTTTACACTCACCGTGCCGTCCGACTTCTTCCCCGAAGAAATGGATTTATCCGACTTTTGACTTTTGACTGCTGGCTGGGGAATGATGGTGATCTCATCATTAATCTTAAGAGGCGAGTCCGAGGACCCAGAACCTGCAGAAAAAACAGTTTTGATGTTCCAGTTTGGTGTTTGGAGACCTTACATAACCAGAGCTGCTGAGAGATGGACTGCAACAGTCAACACCAAGCGCTCCCTCCTCTAGCTGCTAAGTCTGTTCCTTATTTGAGTAGTACGGTACAGCAGTCTATTTAAAGGTGTCACACAAACACACTACTGTACTTCCATCTCCCCTTCAAGAGAACAACTAAGTACAACAACTCATTAAGCTAAAACCTTACATGTGCAAGGGAACAGCCACAACATTTTCCACTTTATGTAGGCCCTTATTGTAAACAGTAAGTATAAAAAGCAATTCACACTACCTAAAAATACCAAAGCCTTTATTTCCAAAATTTCAAATTACTGTACAGTATTGTATCACTAACTGAATGAAGCAAACTCCATCAAGAGTTACTGCTGTGTTCACTGCTCTACTCTATGTTCTCTCAGTGTACTGCACACTTAAAGTATCCAACATACCTCCAGAGCCTTGCTTCTTGCCACTATCCCCTTTATTTTTGTTGACAACAGAATGTGCTGAGTAAACATGATTCTCAAAGAGCCTGTACATGTTGAAGGTGGCGGTGCACACAGTGCATTTGTAAGACAGGTGAGCGGGCTTGAGCGTCATCTTGTGGTCTCTGCTCACATGATTGAGGAGCTTCCACTGGAACACCTGTTGAGTCACACCACCATTATAATGTGAAGTTGTAAAATATAACAAAAACTACAACCACAAACTGTATTAACAAGCAACAACAGGTTGTGATGAGGGGATACAAAACAACCATCACCTACCTTGCCACAGATAGGACACCGGCCAGCGTCCTTGCCCTTGTTGGCTGCCTCCTGCATGGACGAAGTAACTAGCCCGTGTGTGCCTAGGAGGTGCCGTTCCAGACCCTGTAGAGAGAGAGAACGATTCATCACCACCACAACCCACAATCCTCTTCATGTTATATCATGATTATTTTTCAAGTTCCCAGCCATGAAATGTAAAGATTACAGTAGTCAACATTCCCCCAAATAACATAACCTTTGTTCACCCCAACATCTGGCCCTCAAGACACTAATGCCAGCGACTGCACTGTACTGTACCTGGTCTGTGAAGAAGCGGTGTTGGCACTTCTGGCAGTTGAGCGGTGGGCGGTTGTAGATCATCTTCGGGTGGATTTTCACTTTATGGATTAGGTTCATATGGTTCCTCAGCTGTTCCAGATCCTGTAAGACGACCCACAATGTTTAGCTAACTCAGGTAAGGGACAGTCATCATGAGGTCTGAAACACTCTTTATTGGCCACCTGCACAACCAACCTTGTTCTCAAGTGGACGCACACACACACACACAGGTGAGAAAACGGTAGCTTTAGTCACCCCTGCTGAAGCAATGTGATACAGTATTACAGGAGACTTGATAGTACAGTACTGAACTAAAAATAACAAGAAGCTAATTGTCAATACATTTTTAAACTGCATTACACAATTTGATCATGGGAAGATAAGCCCTCAAGCTTAGTTTACCTGATAATTTAACACCTCAATGTTAACCTTATCCCCAGGTAGTGTTAAGGTGTTTAACCGTCAGATGCATTAAACTTGGAGGGGCTAATCTTAATGACCCAAAATTTTACTCTGAACAATAATAAAGTCAAAATACTCACCTTTATGTAACCGTCGCAAATTTCACATATAACAAAGGACGGTTTCCCACTGGAATCACGTGTTGGTGTGGCCCCCTTGCTGATAGTTTGTGTCTGCTGCTGGCCGCCCCGTGGCAGCGGCGTGATGGAGATACTCGGCTGCTGCGGAGATTTGGTATTCCCTACCTTGCTTTGTACACTCTGGGGAGAGACAACAATTATGACGTCTCCGCCTGGACTGGAGATTAAAGTAAATATATTTATCATTTCACTCACCCACAGTCTAAAAAAATGTATACATGACACCTTATAGTAATCACATGAATGTTCGTGTTACCACAGAACATTGTTCACAGTTGGTGATGTGTCAGGTCTGTAGGAGACTCACATATCAACACGTGAGGAGAATGCTGTTGTTGTTGTAATACAAAAGTTCATGTGTTTACCATGAAAGTCTGTAAGGTAGTGTGTGTAAATTTTTTGGAGTGACCAGGAGACCAGCGACCACCCTGTATGTAATGACCACAAGAAGGTACACCAGCAAGACTTGACTATCATGCTCCAGGAACAAGACAACACCACGTCCTAACCTTATATCCTCTTAAGAGACGCTACACCAGATACTGACCACAACTGTAATATAAACCGAAAACAAATTACACACAAAATATCCTACTGACTGACCAAACCACGATGACCAGAGAAAGGCGGGGAAATAAAACACAGCAAAAGTGTAGCTTCACGCAGGTGTAAACTAAACAAAGGTTACAGATTTTCTTTTTAGATTGCCCACGAGGGGGGCTAGTTTATTGGGCACCCCCTTACATCCTGTGCAAGGTGAAGCACAGAAACGTTTACAGCGCCCATCTGGGAAGCATGCGTAGTCCATGCTTGCCTTTATGACTCGCACATTAAGGGCCTAAAAGCCTGAAGGGTCATGGGTTTTGTCAGCAAGTTACATAAAGTGACAGCATGATGAGTGTGTGGGGGGAAAATTCCCGGTACAATTTATCTGTTTATGGCAAAGTGTGTCAGGTCCTTAGTGCCAGGCCTGTCTCTAGGAGGAGGGATATCTGGTCAGGGAGGGAAGAGGTGTTGGTAACGGCTGGGGACCTGTAGGAGGAGGTCATAGGGCAAGTGAGGATGTATTGAGAGAGGGTGTGAGAGTCGGTTGACCATAAAGTTTACAAACAGTGCGGCCAGGCTCAGGGTTGCCAATGTACAAGGCGTGGCGGTTACAGACCTACAGTACAGTGACCCTTAATGCCTTACTTGACCTATGACCTCCAGTTACAACCCTCAACATGGACAGACTGTTTCATGTGGTGTAATGTGTGTTAGGTTAATACTGAGTCACGTTTCACCCAAATATCTGCTTCAATACTGTACGTATATGGATTATGACCCAGACAACAGTTTGACCTCTGACCTTCACCCGGTGTAACCTGGTGTTCTGTACCTTCAGTGGTGGAGGGAGGGGGAGGGAGGGGTAAATTATACCTCAGTGAATAGATAAAAATAATAAATTAACCAGACAAGATATAAAAGTTAACAGATGTTGGCAGGATAACGTGAAGCTTGGGAGTGTATCACAGACTGTCACACCTCAAGACATCATCAACTGCCAGTGTCCAGGTTCATACTAGTTAAGACAATACAAGAGTTGCTTAAGGGGGAGGGAGGGAAGTCAAACCATAGAAATATAACCCAATAAACCAACCACCTCAGTCTGAACAACTATATCAGCTGTTAACGTTGCTAAAAAAGGTCATTGTTTGGTTGATAAGTTAAATTATCAGTGAGAGAAAAGCCAATCCTGTACACAATCAAGTCACCCGACCTGACCTCTCAAAATCTACTACAGTGATATCTCCGTTAGCCCGAACAATTGGTGCAGAGCACTTCCGGGAACGAGAGATTTCCGGGTAACGGGACGACTCTCAAAACCAGAAAACAAATCCCCCATCCCTGGAATTTTCCGAGTAACAAAAATTTTATCTTAAATTTCCAGAAAATGCGCCCCTCGGAAAATCGTTCCCAAAGCCGAAATTTTCCGGCTTTGGGAACGATTTTCCGAGAAATTTTAAATTCCGGCTACAGGAGAGTTTGAGGCTAACGGAGATATTACTGCATTAACTACTCCCCATCATCCTTAATACAGACCGTCTTCTGGGACTTTCATCTTTACTTACCAACCACCTGGAGGACTAAACATTCAACAATACTTTAGTGACATTAATCACATTGTTCAGATACTGTACTGTGAGTTATGTTACACCATTATCAGACAGTCAACACATATGTCTCCTACACACAAACCTGTTCACTATGTTTGTACACAAGAGACATCATATACCAACCTTTATGGTGAAGAACAGTTACACTAGAGTGAACTATAGAGATGTCTTGTTTCAAAGACTTGTAAGTGATACACCAATTAAGATTTGGTTCTATAACTCATCTCTGAAGCAGTGTCCTATAACCACACCAGTACGGCAGACCTGATAATGTAGGCCTCTAAAACTGAGCTCTCAGGGAAAATTAGGAACCTCAGCTTATCTAACCTAATGATTAAACACCCTTACACTAATTGGGGGGGGGGGGGTAGTGTTAGGGTGTTTGATCATCAGGTAAAATAAGCTGGGGTTCCTAATCTTCACAAGTTCCTGAAAATTCTCCTTGTAATGCTAATACTAACTGACCAGGGACCACACACTCCGGTACACATGGTTAGTGAGCTCATCTACACCTTGACTGGAGAAACAATCGACTACGGTAACTCGGGGGAATAATGTTTGAACACCGGCCTCCGTAAGCTATGGGTGTAAGATGTACACCGATCAACAGAGAATAGAAAATGGTTAACTGAGACTTGTACCACTGACCTGTGTGGCTGATGTGGCAGTGATCTATAACTCAGGCAGCTGAGACAGTGCCCTATAACTGAGCTGTGAGTTATAGATGGTAGAAGTCACGACCCAACACTTACCTGTATAGTGATAGACGATGATGCTCCCAGTCCAGGAATGAGGCTGACAGAAGAGGATGACGAGGACGGTAAGATGCGTGGCACTCTCGCTGCCGACTGTGAAGATACGGAAACACTGCTGACTGAGCCGGCGGCACCCGACATTGGCACCAGGTGGCCATTGACAAGCTGTGGGTTGCCAACAACACACACGATAATGCTTCCCAACCAGCGGGGAAATACACGAATTACGTCTTATGCCGCCCTGCAGCCCCATGACTGTACTGGTTATGTCTACTTTATACTTCACAATATTTCCCCAAAGATAAACTGGCCAGCCATGACACAGCTCTATCTGTAATGATCGTAGGAAAACCTGTCACTATCATGACAAGCAAACTACAAGGCATGAAAAATACTCGAAATCAAAACATAAATAAACTCAAATGACGTAATTTATGCATGTTCCCTAAGCCTCATCATCCGAGAGAGAGATAATGAGCCTTACTGAAGCACTATCTACGGTTCAGAGATGCTCATTGAGTTTCAGCAAAGTGATGTGGCCTCTAAACTTATAACAAAATTTTGACAATTCAAGAATTTATGACTTAATAAAAGTAATGAAAGAAACATGAATGGCCAACTGAAGCTCTTGTGCTGAGGTCACAGATGTAGCATATGAATCTGTGTCATTACAACAACAACTCTTACTGATAACCTTCACACAAAAATTAAAGAACTTTCAAATATCTGCAATTGATTACTATTGAGGGATTTTCTTTAATCTATACCAGATCAAAAACCTTTTCTTTTATCTCTATACCAGATCAAAAACCTTTACATCAGAGCAAGATATTAACCCTCGCAAAACAACAACTGGGTGTGTCGGCGTACAAGACCAGAGGCGCACATTTGGAGGAAATCTTTACTGGTCGTGGGCAGCCCATCAGTCTTCCAGGTACGAATAATTACATTCCTCAAGAGCCCGTACACCCGAGTCCTTAGTATCTCTTAAGCTGGGTCAATAATGATGATCAAATGTAAGTAAACTATGTCAATACAAGCAGCCAGATGGTGTGTGTGTCTCAGACCATCAAACATACATGACAGTCTTACAGTATTTAAGTGACTCACAGATAACATCAAACACCTTGATTTATCTATACATAAAGACATCACACAATTGTATATAACTTCAACTTGTTCCTCTTCACAATAAGTTATATATCTTATCTCAAATATACAACATACAATTATTGAGGGAAATTTAATTATCATATTTTCTTTCGTAAGTTTCTTTGTCTACCTTAGCGGAAGAACTGATGTGGCTGTTGGCGACTTAGATCAGCTTGTCCATACATCACTTGTGGATCAATAGTCAGAAGCTACAAGACAATTACTACGACCACCTCCAAGGGACCGGGCAATACGTTAACTAACGAGAGTTTGGTTCGTCTCGTCGGGTCAGATACGGTAGTCACGACAAGAGTAAAAATGACCGATATTAACATTCCTTAATTATCGTGTGAAGTTAATCCAATGATAAACAAGGCAGTGTGATGATGAAGCTAAAATTATGAATCAATACAGTGTTGCCAAGTCATACATGCTCCAAATCATAAGTGATAACATAAACTTAGACAACTCATCCTTCAAAACTCAAAAGAAATTATATGATTGACAAAAATAACAAAATAAATATACCATAATGAAGCAAGAGGAGAGACTACAGCAGAGATGTTTGTTTATCTTGATTATTTCTCAGGAATGATTGAATAAAGTATATAATATATTTGGTAACTGATGACACAGTAATAATAAACTTGTCCCTAACTATTATATTAACTCAGCAGCTATGACCTGCCCCCTGCCCTCATTGGTTAAAGTGATTTTTGTCTTTAGGTCACTCAATGGTTCTTCATTTTTCAATCAAATTTTGTTATCATTCTACATATTCTCACAAACCAACTGATATCATGTGTAATAATGTCCAAAAATGAGGTGGTGTAAATTAGTGTAGTAATACAGTATCTTAAAATATTAGAGACAAATAATAAGAGTTGTAAAGTGATGAGTGACGTTCAGTGTCATCTGGGAGTTGGACTGTTGACCAATAATTATGACTTTTTAACTCTCCACCCCGATCGCCGCCGACCAATCATTCATTTTCAATCACGCTCTGGGGGGTGGGGGGGATAGCTGCCAAGTTGATTTGTTTTTAGTATATTGTATAACCAACACACCAAGCTCCATGCAACACATGCTTCTTCCACAACACAACACACAAACAACTGCTGAATGTAAGTACACTATAATATAAATTATAACCCCTAAAAAGTATGGTATGGTGATCTAAAAGCCAGGCAGACAGATCATCAACATCTTCTGTTAACCATGCAGGAAAAAATCTAAAATCTTTAACATTTGTGTCCTAAATTTCCTGTAACATTTTACACACACATCACTGTGAGCTACATCTTGAAGGGGTACCTGAGACAGTCCTGGTTACTATGTTGGGTCACTGTAGTACTGTATGTTGGGTTTCATGTCAGAAAAAAACAACTAATGTACTGTGATAGTAACAAGTTGTGACCTAAATTTAAAAACCTTTAAGGAACTGTAAATTTAGGAAGGACTCGAAGGAACAAGTTAAAAGAAAAGCAATAAGCACCAACAATATAGACGATGCAAATTAATGACACCCCCAAAGGACTCTACCTTCTGGAGGCTCATCTACTGAAACTCAGAAAATATGTGATTTCCAAAAGGTTATTTATAGTCATTAGGGTGAGAATAAGTTAGAAAAAGAGAGGAATAGATGGATGGAGACTGAGGTAACCGGGGTGAACACAACACTCCCTCGGCCTTGAGAGCTACAGGGTACAGTACACAGGCAGGCAGAGGAAGGTTGACTCAGCTGATTTACAGAAACTGAGAAGAATATTGAACTAAATCATCACAATAATTTATGATGAGAGAACACACCAGTGACAAATGATACAAGTACTGTAATAAACACATTGTAAGTCCCTCTGTGGTTGATATCTGAAGTGTTGTGGTTATTTTAATGAAGTAATAACTGGTTACAAACAGCTTAAGTGTAACCCCATAAAACATCTTACTAAAAACATTCTTTAATTTTATATTTCTAAATGACAAATATTGAGCAAACAAGATTTATGTTTACTGAGACAGGTAACTCACATTTTTAGATGCCAAATACATTCTAGTTTAATGACCTTTATGTTGTGATAAATATTAACATTTGCAGGGGAACTAAATGAGTAAATCCCGCCTCTATAATCTCCATCCAGTTAATTAGTGAAGTGTGAGCATGATTCATGAAGCTGGTCAACAGTAACACACCAAGACCACAGCATTACTAAGACTAATCTGACATAAATATTAGGAGAGTAATGCTCTGTATTCAAGTGAACTAAACAACATTGAAGCCAAGAGATCAGATTGTTAGTTGATGAATACAATGTAATGCTCTTAAGTTGGTCAGTTCTGTTTTGCCAACCATATATCTCGCAAGACCTAACTCATGCCAGGAAACAGAGGACCAACAAATGATGTGTTAGTTAAGAGCGGTTTTCTCGCTCGCTGCCACCCGACAAGTGACCGACTCTTAACACAACACGTGGTCAACTTTGTTTACACACAGTACAGTATTCTGACTAAAATACTTTATTTCAAGACTGATGTAAACAGTTTCAGCATTTGCCTAACTAATATAAACAGTTTAAAATATACACAATTATCAGCCCTGAGAAGACCAAACACCTACACATGACTACTGGACTGGAGAGCCATTCAAAGACCTTGTTTGTACCAGAGCAGCTTACAAGTCTACGCTGGCCAGGTACAGGCGTCACTACCAACATTCCTCTACGTGTACACCAACACAGTACAGTACAGTAATGCCTCACTTACATGGAACATTTGGTTGCCAAGTGTGAACTGTTGTGCGTTTCCTGATACTTGCTGCACCAAGTTCCCTGTGGTCGTAGTCGTCGTGCCGCGAGTCGTGTACAACAACGACCCCGTGTTACCTGTACCAGAGAAGCCTTATGTTAACCCACACAGTCAGAGATAATAATACAATAATTCTTTATAGTAGAGGGATGAAGAACAATACATTATTATCTACTCTCTTTACATCATCACCCATTGTCAGTTTTCACACATTGTAACTGAAGCACCTTATTTAGACAGAAAAATATGGATAAAGAGAGAAAAATATGTACTGTATATTAATCACACCCTGACCACAGTCCCTGCTATAGTTTATTAACCCCTTCACTACAGGTCTTCTCTTTTAACAATGTTTGGTTCACGGCAGATGATTTTATTCAGCTCGGAGGCAACCCTCGGCCATACACCCAGGGTTAGTATATCTTCAGTTTAACTCTTCTTAAAGGACGTCTACCTAGTGTAATCTTGACATACCTTTTATCTCTTAAAACCCTCAATACCTCTTGTAAACACTTGCTACTGTACATGAGCTTTTCATATAAGACAACTCCTATACTATACTGTAAAGAGCTCCACTAAATGCTCTTGTATGCAACACTGGTAAACAACTTTACACAATACAGGGTGTCCCATAAGTTACCCAACCTATTTTACAACTTATGAACCTCAAACAATGTCAAGCAACAAAAGGTTCAAACGTCAGATAACTTATGTACACCCTGTAGCTTTTTTATCAAGTGCCACAGCCCCTACACATCCCTCCACCTCCTCTACACACACGCTGGTCTTCCTCTACCTCAAAGTTCCATTAACTTCACATAGCTACAGTCTCTTCGAGCTTTCACCTGATGTCAAAAAATTATCTACTGTCATTAAGTTTTTTACCCACAAGTTTCTTACTGTTGGTAACCAGTAAGAGAGACTCAGACAAAGATGTGTAGTTATGGTGCTGTGGCTGGCTAACGTACCTGTGTTGGTTCCTCGGACTTGGTTTGCTATGGTCCCAACGTTCTTGTATGAGCCCACAGGTCGGCCACGCCCTCGTCCCGCTGCTATCGATGCCGCGTTCGCCGTTGTCAGGAGATTTGATGCGACTGCAGACTGTATACTGATATTCATCCCTGCTAAGCTTTTCGGTAATAGATTGGGCATCTTCACAGGTTCAAAAGCTTTACCTAAAGTGTTTGGCCGACCACGATGAATCTATGAAAAAATACACATTTTAGTTTTGTTATATATTGTATTCCTTAAGTTGTGTCTCTGAAACAAACAAGTCAAAGGTGTTGTCTTAATAACTTGAAACATCTCCCACATCCTTCCCTTACACAGGAATACAATATTTGGGTCAACATATAACAATACAGGATCAAAACAGCAGGACAACATCAGTTGGTGTGTAACACCATCTGTGAGGGAATTACTACACCACGTCAAGCCCCTCATAACACCACCTGTGAGGGAACTAGTACTCCACGTGATGCCCCTCATAACGCCATCTGTGAGGGAGTTACTACACTACGTGTCTGCTGTTCAACACCTCAGCTCACATGATCTACGTGTGTAAACATTAATCTATATGTTCACTGTATATGTTCCTTCACCTTTCTCTAATGAAGGCTTTTGTTAAACCACCAATGTATGTAATAAGTCATTTATGTTCAATGTATATTTTCAGCCTTCGGGCTGCAATCTTTTTCAATAAACCGTTTATTATTATTACAGTAGTTCTTTATAATATTACTTACTTAATAAATATAGTAATATGCTTCAAATCTGATAACATATTTTGTGAACAAATCCCCAACCTGTACAGTAAGTATGACAAAATAAGTTGCCCTAAGACCTCACTATGACAATAAATAAAGAAATATGTACTGCACTATGCTCCACCTACCACAACACTGTGAAAAACTTTAGTTAAATCACCTATGGCATCCCTCACCTCTTGGCATAATAATGTAAGCTGACATTATTGTGCATTAACTTATCAGTACTGTACAATGTGTACCTGAGTACATATCTGTATAGTATACAATAAGTGTACAAGGTCAGAAGGGGTATACGGTACACTCGTGGATAACTTCAACTCCAAAAGTAGATGAAAATATTACAACTATACTATACAGTACAGTACAGTACAGTAGTTTTAACCATTAACAAACAGTAAATGGTGAGACATACATGTAATACCTTGGGAATCTTGGCCGGTGGTTCCCAGTCTATTAGTTCACAATTCTTTTCTGGCTTGTACTTTTTGCTGCAGGAAAATGAATGCCTGGTCATTTTAGATTTGTTGTTATCTTCATATGGACAAAGGGAGCACTGGAAAAATGCCGGGGCGCGCTCCAGCCGTCCCCGGATATTGTGTTCTGCTTCCATGTGGAATAAGATTACCTGAACAATGACAAGGATAAAATAATGTTAAAACAATACACTCTGGTATGATATCCATAAATTGTACAATAGTTTTCAAAAGGTAAATCTAAAATATTAAAACATTCATTCACAGCACAACTGACTTTTTAAATATTCTATATAACTTTAATTATTTTGAAGGTCATTTATTAAAACACTAATTGCTCAAATTTTTAAATTGTGAACCCAAATCCTTAATCAGGATGTACAGTACATTAGTGACTTTGTATGAAATCTGAACCAAATCCATGTTTATATAGTAAAGCATCTCCAAACTGTACACAGTATAAAGGTGACTTAAAACACTTTACACAGCTAATGCAGCAACAGACAAACAAAACTGAATATTTCTCAGGTTCAGGCAACAAGTTTTAACAGAACCAGTAACTGAAACAAACTGTCTTCTTGTGTGGTTCTGTACTTTGGCTCATGGTGCTAAATAAACTGGTCACAAATATTTTCATGCACACAGGCAAGAGTTAGCAACACCCAACAGTGTAACATTAACTCGCCTGAGGTCCGCGGGTTTCAAAGTCGCAGAAGTTACACTTATAAGTATAATTGACCATATGAGGAGACTCCAGATGCCGGTCCATCACCAACTCACTCTCCGTCTTGAAGTTGCAGAATTTGCAAATCTTGAGCGGCACACTGAGGTGGGAATTCTTAATCCGGGTGAACTCTAACTGTTTTTCTAACATCCTCACAGACAGCTGCAATAAGTGAGGGTTATTCAGTCACTCATACACAACAGTGAAATTTAACAGGTTGTGAACTTGCAAGTAGAGAATAATACATTAGTTACTGATGACAGTCACACATACAGTCTTAACTACACAGATGACAGCCAACATGAGGAAACTTTCCATCATATTTAAGACACTATCAGAGGTCTAACCAACTATTAATACGAGAATTCAATCATAATAAGTTGTAAACAATTCCTTCTCTAGCCACGAGTTGTAGCACATACGTATTAGTGTGACCAGAGATCAACACTGGTACTGTACATATACTCACAATGCCTTCTCTGGACGGAGTAGTCTTCATCTTGTCTAGCTTCCTCTTCTGCATACGTAACAAATCACACTGGAGAAATTCCTGAGCCTGGTTGAGACCCAAGTCCAACATGAACTTACCCAACGCACTGCGGTAATACGGCTCCCACCTGAAACGGAGGAAATTTGTACTGTAAGTCGTTCATCAGTTAAACACACAATTTTAGTTGGCCTAGACAAGATTGGCTCCTGCTGTGATTACATTGATGGAAAGTCTTATTTAAAAAGTGTTGTACAACTTACTGATGTTTGTGTTAAAGAGAAGGATAACTAGCAAATTATACACTCTACTGTACTGTACTATACTATACTGTGCTGTACTCTCAGACACACACACACAAACTCTTAACTTTATACGAGCAGTTTTTACCACATTACTTGAGTGTGAAGTAACAGACAATTATATAAAGAGACATATTTCTGAATAATCAATAAGCAAGGTACATTATATTATTCCACAGCAGGAGAGTTTTACTGTACTTCAAACAGTTTAGACAAGACAGCTTCACCTCCTGTGTTAACCAATATATGGGTAACAAGTTGACAAAATTAACTAAACTGACGACACAGTTAACACAAAACAGTTGGTTGTCAAAGCCTGTCTTCCTGACCTGACTGCTACAACATCCTCCTCCAAATCTCAGTCTGTCAACTACTCAACATCTGTAAGATCCAACATTATGTCATCAAGGTATAAATCATTATTAAAAACTTCTCTGGAACCTCAATCTCTCTCCTGGACTGTACTACCAAATCACCTCAGTGTCTCAGCTGCTGTTAAATACTGTACAATATCTCCCCACAAGAATAAAGAGAGAAACACTACTGAGTAAAATCTAATAATTGTACCAATAGTTATTAACCAGATTTAAATTATCATAAAACATAAAACCTTTTTTTAGTCAAGGGAAGAACAAACTTTTTCCATCAATATTTAATACATTAACTGACTGACATATAGAAGGTCACCAAGACTCCTCAAATTATAACTTTACTCTCATGGTCGCCTGTAATCTGACTAAATAACCCGATAATTGGTGAGATTTCCTTTGTAAAATACTGAACCTAGTGATGTGTAAGATGGCTTGTTATATCCTCAGTAAGTGGCTAAGATGGTTCTCAACATTCTCTAAAGATCACGTCACTGAAACTGTTAGGCTTGACCTCTCTGTGAAATTGTTCCTGGGGTCAATAACAAACACCTGACCTAGCCTAACCTCAACACACTGTACTGGTATCTCTGAAGGTGGGGAGAGGCAGCTAGAGGCCGTGCACCGTGGAGAGCTGCCGTGCCCACATCACCAAACTCCTAACTATTGTTTTCAATGTATATATACTGTACAGGGTATCTGCATTTTTCTAAGAATAAATAAATAAATACAAATAATATTTTCAGCTGAAAAAATTTCATTGTGTAAAAGAGAATGATGTTGCAATATGATTCAGTCAGCCGGTAGCAACCAACTGACAGCTGTGAAGGTAGTGGCTGCTAAGAACAACAAAAGGGGGCAGGGGAAGGGGGAGGAAGGGAAGAGGAGAGGGGGAGAGTTAACAGGTCAGACTTATGTATGAAACACTGAGCCAAGGGCTATTCTTTAAGGGGAGGATGGAGGCAATACTATGGGCCTCCTAAAAGCCTATGTTGGCTACAGTACTTTATGGTAGACACAATCAAGTCAACTCACATGAAGCTAATCTCTGAGGTGAAGCTCATATATCATTACTCTATAATTTAAGCAAGACTACAGGATTTCCTACCAGTCGACTGATAAGGTAGGTTAACAATACATAAGATGTGTTTATAACTGTATAAAGTGAGCCTATTAACTGTAAACAACAAAATGAAACCTTCAGTCTTTCTACCAAGACCCTGGCAGTGGACACACTACACCTCACTCAACAGTACCTACGGCATAACATCATCTCAAAAGGCAGGCATTTCCCTCTCACTTAAACCAAGCCAGGAGGACAGAACACAACTACTCTAACACACTTCTTTACCTAACTACCTCCTCCTCCAAATAAGACTCAAATCACATTAATTAAAGAGGTAGTTGTGGCATCTCAATACTTACTTCCCCAAGTGGGTCATATCCTCCTCTTTCTTCTTCTTGTTGTCCTTCTCCACGTCCACCACACTATCTGTACCACCCACTTTGCCCTTATTCTCTTTATCATCGTCGTCCACCACAGTCCCCTTGTCGTCCTTCTTACCACCTTTATCCGTCTCTTTCCCCTTCTCTTCTTTACTCTCATTATTTTCCTCACTTTCTTTTACCTTCTTGTCATCTTTCTTTTCCTTGTCTTTTTTACTGTCAACTTCAGTATCTTCCTTTTCTTCATCTTTCTCTACTTTACTGTCCTTATCATCTTTCTTATCTTCGTCTTATCACTTTTACCTTTTCCGTTTCCATTTTTTCCTCCTTCTCCTCTTCCTCCTTCTTCTCTTCGTCCTCCGACTCGGAGACTTCCTCACCCGCCTCTCTCTTCCTCTTCCTCTCCTCCGCCTCCTCCTTCTTCTTCTTCTCCTTTTCTTCCTTCTCCTTCTCTTCTTGTAGTCTCTTCTCTTCTGCCTTTTTCTTCTCCTCTTCCTCTTTCTCCTTCTTCTCAAACTCCTCCAAATCTTTGTTTATTCTACGCAGGAAGGTCTTAATGGGTTCCTGCACGGGTTGAAGAGAGTCATTGGCACAAATTAATAAATGACAGAGAAGCAAAAAACCCTAAAACATTCAACACATTTCTGGTCCACAAACAGTATCCCAAAAGTGTACAACTGACACCTAGGACCAGAAATAGACAAAATACTGACATTATTTCCAAAATATTATAAAACTGTCAAAAATATTAAGCCAAGACTGATTATTGTAATGGTGGTGTTACCGTAAAACGTAAACTTATTCTATTACAATTATCAATATGACCGACCTCCCCGAGACATTAACTCTACACGAAACTGATTAGTTTTCTTCAATTTAATTTATCATTTGATCACTTTTCAACTCACTAGCCATTAGGGTGATTGGTCTGGTTTTTTGTTACTTTGTTATGACCTTTATTGTCCGGTGTCGGGACAGGGGGACGGAGTAAACCCGTCATGTTTGGTAGTGACGGTCACACTGTATGACTCCCTTCTCATGTGTGCTCCGGGCCAAGCAAGACTCGAACCCCTAACAGTGGTACACACCTTACCGCTGTATTGTACCACCAACACCGAGTAACAATACCAAGACTGATAAATGTGTTCAAGAAATTAATGTCCAAAACTGTTCTGTAAAGACTAATACTGTATATCATAAACACTGCTGTACTATTATAAACTTTACACTGTACTGATGGAAGGTTGACAGCTATGAGCAGTTCAGTAATTATTGTACTAAATATTTTGATCCTTGAATAAACACAACAAATACAAAGATATTTTCAATATTAATAAAATAAACAAGTGAATACATTTACATAATTACACTTAACATAGTTTTCTAAGACAACAACTAAGGTTATATAGTGAGGGAGGGACAAGGTGTAGGTAGTAGACATGGGGCTGAAGATTCAAAACATTGTATTGTCTTTGAAGCCAGAGATATGGCACAGACTTCAGCTTTGAAGCTTCAGACTTTCTTCTTTACACGGTCACACTGACCACATTGTGACATCATGGTTGAGCTGATCCCTGACCTTCCTGGTCACACATTGACCTGACCTGCTAAGAAAGCCCAGGTGCTTGTAACAGCCTCAGTAACATCACAGTTAATGCCTCCTCTTCCTATTGGTCTACTCTCACAATGACCTGACCTGGCCCTCAGCCTCCTGACCCTGGGTGTTGTTGGCTGACCGACAGCACCATTGATAACCTTAACACGCTTCATTGACTGTCACTCACTAAATGTTGTCTTGTATTGTGGAGAGTTTTGGCACTACTGATTTGTTTTCAGTTATGAATAAAATAAATGAATGAAATCAATAAAATGAATGACAATGACTAATGAATAAAATAAAACAATAATATAAAATTTATAAAAGCTTTGTTGTTACTATAAGCAACTTTTATCAACCTATAGTCAAAACCTTCAGTTAAAGTGGAAATTAAGACAAAAGTTTCTCATTTTTTATATTAATGTTTGTAAACTTAGGCTGTATAACAATATGATGATGCAAAGTTTCAAAAGTATCATTTGGGTCTAAATCATGCAAGGTCAGATTAAGGTCACATGGCCAATGCACATTTGACCTGACCACACCTGAAGCTCACTCTCCCCGGCGCGGTGGTAGTGTGTTCTCGTGTCGGCACTGGTCAGTAATTGTGGCACCAACACAACAACCTACTGTATGTTTGGTGTCACGTCACTGGACCACCTTAGATCCTCAACCATTATGATACACAGTACTGTACCATCTTGGGTTATCATCACAGTTATAAAACACAACCACCTTATGAAACATCAACAGTGTTCCAAGAAGCTGTGTCTGGAGGAAGACCTCAGAGGAGCTTCTGAAGGGTGTAGGTCACAGCATCAGGTGGAAGTAGAAGGAATCTAAACAGTTTAATGACTTAGCCAAATACAGTACTGTGAGATGATCCTTTATAATGTTCATTCTTATGGTTAGGTTAATGTGCTCTGGTATTATACAAGCGTTTAAGTACTGTATAATACTTTTAACAGTTTCTTCAATATAATATTATACAATGTCCTGAGGGTTTTGTCCAACACTCGCCCCAAGAACAACCAACTCAAAGTCTCGGTGTAACTTACTATATCACCATCACCAGGTCAGGTCAGGGTGTAAGTAATGCTGTTAAGTTTCATGTAGCCTTCCAATGGCTTGGCTTCTGCTCCATGTCTGGGAGGGAAGGAGGGAGAGAAGGAGGGGCAAGGTGTAGGTAGTGAGTGGAGGGAAGGAGGGGCAAGGTGTAGGTAGTGAGTGGAGAGAAGGAGGGGCAAGGTGTAGGTAGTAAGTGGAGGGAAGGAGGGGCAAGGTGTAGGTAGTGAGAAAGAGGAGGGGGTAAGAGGGTGGGGGAGGAAGGAGGAGGAAGAGGATGTAGTACAAGAAGAGACAAAGGAGAGAGAGAGAGAAAAGAGAGAGAAAAAGAAAGAGAGAGAAAAAGAGAGAGAAAAAGAAAGAGAGAAAAAGAAAGAGAGAAAAAGAGAAAAAGAAAGAGAGGGAGAAAAAGAGAGGGAGAAAAAGAGAGGGAGAAAAAGAAAGAGAGAAAAAGAAAGAAAGAGAGAGAGCAACACACAACATGCCACACAAGATCACATTACCCAAGACCCAGTGACCCAAAGCTCTTAGACGATCCATGACCTGTTAACAACTTCTGACCTCAAATCATCCAGGTCACTAGAGGATCTTGGACCCATCTTGAGTATCCTGAGCCTCATTAACTAGGTCATCAGCGTCTTGGGATAGTGATTCAATTAAGGACTAACTTAGGTTTTTTTTTTTCAATGTTTATAAAGAAAACTACATTAAAATCTAGTTCTTAAAGTGAGAGATGCATGCTGAGTATTATCTAGTGAAGAGACTGAGAGACTATCAACTGTATATAATGTACCGAGAAATGAAATCAGTTCAGTCCGTTCACAAAATGCTAAGTTAAGTTAAGAGTCAAATAAGAAGAAGAGAGAGACTGAAGAAGAAGACATAAGACATAAATATGAAATACAGTAATTGGGTAAACATGAGATAAAAAAAGGTAATTAATGAATAAACAGAAAAAATTATTACAGTACTACTTGTCATGATTCTCACATGCAGTAAGGATGTAGCCAACAGCACAAACACAACCGTACGTATGACTCGTATAGAGATTAAAAGGCGCTCACAAGTGTTGACCAAGTTACACAGTAAATGAACCACCACTACTGTAATGTACAGACAAACAACATCACCTCTAGATGGTGACCTACCTTTGGCTTCCCCTCCATAACGTAGGGCACAATAAACGATGGCGCCTCAATCACATAGGCGTCATCCTGCAAATGACCTAAACTGTTATAATATTGTTGCAGCTGAGCCAAATGCTGGGAGTTCATGGGTACCTGCCCACCCTGAGCCAGCAGTACCTGCAAGAGGTCAGGAGTTGGAACTCTAGGTAAAGGTTGCAGGCTTAGCACGTCAACGACTACTGATCAAGGGTCTAGGGGCAGGGTGCAGTACACTAGGCTAGGGGGTCACACGACTCCACACATAAAGGGGTTTGATTGCTCAGGTTATATCATTAATTACATAAAATGAGGACAAAAGGAAGCTGGTGCAGTAATGATAATAATATCAAATTCTTTATGTGTAAAAATTAAAGTGGAAATCAATAATATACACACATGCGCACAAGCATGCGCACACACACACATTCTATTTTACACAGATATTCCCAAGCTTCCATGTTCCCACACATCAATACACACCAACACACTGTCTCACAAACACAATTACTAACTCGTGGAAGTATTCTTGTTCTCACTCTTTAACACACACACACACACACACACACTTTCACTCTCAAATAACCTTATCATATCAATGACTTAAGAATACACTTATAATATGACATAAAATCAATTATAAACAAGAGAAAAATTAACAAATATAAATCAAGGGCACAGATATAATGAGAATGTGACCACCAAACTGTTCCTCAAACTTTAAACATCAAACAGGAACTAAGTGTAAACCCTCTACACACAGTCCTCTCTCCCACCCATGAACCTCTGAAGCTCGACACAGTGTTGGGTCTACAGAAGGTACACTGGGTCATGTCTTGAATTTACAGGTTCATGAGCCTCACACCCGGAGTTTTAAACGCCCTCTTACGTTGAAGACGGTCGTCGTGTTTCAACTCGAGTTTTAAAAAAATGAGTCCCGGGGGACACCGCAGTACAGTACTTAACGGGGTGGTGTGGCAGTAAAATTAACTAATTCCAATCAAATTAATTTATAATATTGGAATTAGTTAATTTTACCGCCACACCACCCCGTTAAGTACTGTACTGCTGTATCCTTCGACTCACTTTTTTAAAACTCGGGTTGAAACGCGACGACCGTCTTCAACGTAAGAGGGCGTTTAAAACTCCGGGCGTGAGGCACATGATGGGCGAGAAGACTTGTGTTGGTGGGGTGTAGATCCCTTCTAGGATTATTAGTCAATCTAAAGTAACAGTAAAGAGAGTTCTTGAAGTAGCTTCCCAGAGGAGATAAATTTGAGGAACATTACGGCTAAATTGCAAAGCAGAAACTGGCAACAAGATGAAGGGATTAACTGATGACCTGGCTGACTATACTGTACCAATGTGACACCAAGAGGCATCACCTTACTTACATCTCCTACTACTCAATGTGTGTGTGTGTGACAGGTGCTACTACAAGCCATGTAAGACAATGTTGGGGAAAATAAGCCAAGGATGAAGTGTTACATTCTGCTCTATTATGCCTTATAGTGAAGCATTAACACCTGTGCAGTGGTGTCCCAGAAAAAGGTATATACAACGTCTTACACATTTTTGTGGACATAACACGAGTGTTTATATTACAAGAGCAACTCATGGGGGACCGTACGAGTGATGACAATGTTGCTGTTCTAGTACAAACATCCATGAGATCCCCACAAACACACGTAAGGCGGTGCTGTGTACATATCTCAGAGAAGCCCTGTAGTGTGTTGATACAGTGTTGGATTATACTATACAAGGTGTCTGTTGCTGCTAATGTTCTGCCTTATCTCAATTGTCCACAACTGATAAGAGTTTCACAATTACATGTCATGGAACTTGTGCTCAAAGTCTAACAAGAAAATAACAAGTAGAACAATAAAAGAAAACTCAAAACATAACTTACAAAATATATTAAGTAATATTGGCATAATCAGAACCAATGCATTAGCTGAACCTTCTTACACCTTGCAAACCTTTCCCCACGATGCTGTGTGTGCTGGACTTAAGGAGCGATAACACCCTTCCTTCCTTCCTTCCTTCCTTCACTTACCTTCACCTGTGGCATCAGATCTCATGAAGATCAGGAACATCACCTTATTTCACCTGATGATTAAACACCCTAATACCTAATGTGGGTGAGGGTTGACTAGTTCTGTTATGATAGGTTAAATAAGGTTATATTTGGTTATCTTAAATTTGGTTACATTTGATTGGGTTGGCTTTGGTTGTTAGGTGTGGTCAGATTAGCATTAGGGTGTCCAATCATCAGGTGAATTAAGCCAGAGTCCCAAACCGTCATGAGATCCCCGACACACTTACACACCAGCTGATACCACAAAACAACCTTTACCATCATTTACACACTCTGCTGCCGCTGCTTCCTGGACGTCCACTTCCCTCACCTCAAGTACTTCCCCCTGACCTCCCCTTCTCCCTCACACCATCCACCTCCCCTGACCTCCCCTTCACCCCCACACCATCCATCTCTCCTGACCTCCCCATCTCCGCACCAGCTTGGCTAACTCGGGTCGTCACCAAACCCGTATCAAATTACTTGAATGTTTCTCTTTATCACTTTTTTTATAACTCAGCTCAACTATCAATGAGACTTTAACTCTTTAGTCAACTTCTTCCCAGCTTACCCCAACCATAAGACCACAGTTAATCATCTCCACACACGCACACACATTCATCATTCATTCATTTACCTCCTTAACAAATCCTGGGCTTTCAATCCTTTTATGACACTCATGTTGCATCACCCCTCCCACCCGCCCCCCTCTTTAATTTTGGCTATATCTTCATTCATTTTTGTATCATCAGTGACTCATAATGCAGCTGTTGTTTTTGCACCTCTACATCTGCCTCACCTCCTCACACACCTGTATGCTAACTCTTACACCTGACAATTATTTACACTCTTCTCAATATAATCTTGTTATCATGAAACACAGGGAGTCTGATGATAACAAGACTCGCACAGTTCAGCTAATGCTCCCACCCTTAAGCCTCCACTTAAACAAAACATAAAGCATTTGACAGTGTACCTTGGGACTGACCTGCTGTAATGCAGTGATGTACGCCGACTGTAGGCCTTGGGCAGGCACTCCGCCCGTGATGGCTTGGATAGCATTTTGTATATTGATGTTTGAGACGGCGGTGGAGGTGCCCCGGGCCGTGACTGTGTGGATTGTGGTGCTGGTGGACTGGGCGACGGCTGCTGCTAGATTACCCTGGTTCTTCAGCAGTGTGTTCGTGTCTATAATGATCACGTTTGGGTCCTTCGACTTTATCTGTGGAAATATATTTAGTGAGTAGACTGTACTGTACAAAGCTCTTCACCTGTGAGGAAAAATCATAGTTGTGTTTGTAAACATAACACAGTACAGTACAGTACTGTATGCCCTGACTGGTCCTCCCCAGTGTATTGTACTGTACAGGTAATGAAGCAATCTCACTGACAGATTGAAAAGGTGACCAGGTAACTCAGAGATGTCTAAACACAACACTGAACTGTCTTACACACACTGTACAACAACAGCCTAACATAGACTTTGTTACTCCACCTGTCTCTACACTCAAAGCTTCAGTACTACTTAACTGTGTCTTGGCCTCAGTGTGACATCTCTTCATCACCGGACTGGTTATAATGAAGGTACAACAACAGGTGGGAGGTGGAAGGTAAGTTCTATATTCACCAGTGTTCATCACACAAGGAACACTGTACATACAACACTAGTACACAACACTGCCACAGGGCAGGACTGACAATAAGTAGGAGTTGCCATTTATTGGGTCATAAATTTATCCTCCAAGTGAGAGTCATAAGAACTAGTGATGAAAGTCAACAGTAGCTGAGTGTCTTATCATATAACACACAAGAGAGAAAGAGACACTAATCAATCAAACACAAGATACTAAAAAAATTTGATATAAATTTATTCTCTATGAGTTACAGTATTTTTTTAAGATGCCAAGAGGAGAGGAGAGCAAAACATACAGACAGACACACAGGAACAATAGTGAGAGGAAAAATAATAACAATAATGATAAAAACAATCTCACACATCCTTTATATTATTTTCCACAGATAGTGAGTGAGTGAGTCAGTCAGTCATTATTATTATTACGATGATGGATAATGACAAACACCTTGAGAAAAAATGTAGTGCACCCTTAACTACCTCCCCCAAACTAACCTAACCTCAACTACCTCTCCCCCAGTAACAACGTTCTCATAACAAAATAATACACAACGTTTAACCTTTCTTTTAATGCTGCTGTAACTGTTGTACACAAGAGCATGGTACAGTAACCACCTGGTCTATAAACTATGACACTACTGTACTGTTCAATCATGTAAACTCAGTAGTGTGTGTGTGTGAACTGCAATAGACATCAAGACACCTCCGTTAGTGAAGAACGAACCATAACAGGTGTAGGTAAATCTCTTCCATAACACGAGCAATACTTCACACCCCAGGGAGCTCCTCTGAGGGACGACACGGGGGCCTCCTGAGCCATCCATCCATCACCACACATCTCCTTTAGACTTTTTATTACCCTTAGGCTGTCTTGTCCCCTCTCCTCTCCTATGTATATTTTCCTCAACCTTTCCCTCCTCTCATGTACACTGTCTCCCTCCACCTAACACACCTGCTACAATACCTCTAGCTCCCTGGCCTCCACCTAACACAATACCTCTAACTCCCTGGCCTCCACCTGCTACAATACCTCTACCTTCCTGGCCTCCACCTAACACAATACCTCTACCTCCCTGGCCTCCACCTAACACAATACCTCTACCTCCCTGGCCTCCACCTAACACAATACCTCTACCTCCCTGGCCTCTGCTAATACAGTACAGAACCTCTATACATCCTGGCCTCTGCTGCAAAACACCAATAATAAAGAGTCTCTATACTGTCCTTGTGTTGGCAGGTGAGAATGGTAGAGTGTGAAGGTGACTACTGCTGTGTTGTGAATAAACATTAACGATGATGCCAGAAGACCAAATGAGTGGCAGGAAGACCCAACGATATAATGAGTCATTGTTGTTAAACTTGTGGGCCAGAGGGAACTGAACAAGGGCACACTACAGAAAACTTAATATACAGATCTTGTACATGAACAAGTATGTGATGGAACAATGTCTGGCAGGAGACAGTACTATACAATACTATATTATCGGTAATTTATCAAGTTAACGTAAAAAAGCAATAACATGAATCTAAAAACCTGACAAACAGAAAAAACGATGCAGAGCTAATTGATGGGGGAAAGTTTTACTACAGAGAGTTTCCAGATGATGACGAACCCACATACATCTGGCAACAAACATTAGATGGCTAGATGACCTTGAACTTTTGACCCCATGACCCCAAAAATCAACAGGAAACAGCCTCTTTCTCCCTAAAGGTGGATTATCTACAGTTGGGTGAACCAAACCAACGACCCTTAGGAACTGCTTTATCCAATCAGCCGCTGCCTCTCTTAATACAGATACTTAAACTAAATAAATAAATAAAAAGTAACAACATTACTTCAAGGTACAGTATTGTACTGTAGTTCACATTTTGGAGTAAAGTTTGTGAGGTTGTAGTCAAGCTGTTGACCTTTGACACTTGTGTTTTATAAGAGACTTGATCTGATGCTCCACACTTTACTCTCACAAGTTTCATCAAATATCTTTACTGTTATAAGAGACAACACAAACATCTACCTTGACCTGAGAGTGACCTTGACCTGACACAACCGGTAGTTAAAAGCCTCATCTTGGTACTTATTCACAAGAAGCTCCACAAAAATGTATTCAAACAACAATTATAAAGGTGATAAGTTGTGACAGGTGACCTTGACCTTGAGTGAGAAGCTTGGGGACTCTCACAAGACACACCCATCCAGATCTTGCTGACAAATGTCTTCACTTGGGAAACAATACTGTAGTGTTACAGCCACAACAACTGGCAGCCTTTTTTAATGACTTTGGTAACTTATGGCCTTCAATGATGGTCTAAAATAAAGTAAAATGTATGTATGTATGAGTGTATGCATGTATGAGTGAGTAAAGTCTTAAGAGGCATAGTGTTTCTGTAATTGGCACCTGACTTAGTATTATAGTTATTACTATGTAAATATACAATCTTGTTGACTATTGATTGATTGATGGAGGGAGGGAGGCCCACTCTCAGTTCAATATTTTACAACAGGTTTGATCCCAGACATTGTTCAGTAAAGAGTAGTGGTAGCAGTGTCTAATATTCAACACACACTTATTGACATCACTATTAAGTGATGGCAAAGTTTGGGTCTTTTTCCACTAGTTGCTAGGAAGAGTCTTGTAGCTGTCATAGCCGTAACTACCGTTGGGTAATTGGGATAACTTAAGTGCCAACAATAAACTCTAATGGTGTCAGTTTTAGAGGTTGTGAGGAGTGGCACCTGTCAGCTACACACAGCACCAACAACTAATAATGGGAGAGAACAATTATTGCAATTATGTCCAGGTTACAGGTACAGTGTCTGTAGCCCCTCACCTACACTCTGATACAGCCGGTGTTTGTATTATTAACAGTATAGATCAACACCCAGCAGAAGGTTCAATACATCAAGTGATGGTGTGTTTGACATCAAGCAAGTGTTGTCACCTGACCGTCCTGTACAGTAACCCTCACGACAGGTGTATGGTGAGAAGCAAACAAAGGATGACAGACCAGCCATCACACAACACCGACCACCAAGATATTATTTAGGATCAAAACATTAAGATGACTGACAGCCATACAGGAGAAACAGGCAGACACACAACACACTATGGTTGTTTGAGAATCAGTGTCAAGACAAGAGCTGACCAACAACACTTCAAGACATTATTATCTCAAACCACCGACAACAACCTGGCAACCATATTCCTCAAGCTCTCACAGGATGACAATACTGTACAGGACATATGAGAGAAACTTGATCAAATACGTAGTTAGTTTCTTTCTCGAGTTATAATAGCTAGAGTTAATATCCACCACCACTAAGACAGAAAGGTTGTGTAATACAGTTCGCTGATATATAAGAGCATCAGTGTGGGGCTGTACACTCACCTCACTCCACTTTCAACATCACATTAAACAGACAGAACCACAAATTCCTCCCCAATACACCAAACTTTCTTCATACGTTCAGTTTGGTAAATACTGTAAGTGATGGTGCCAACAGTACAACAACACCGTAAGTCTACCAAAAAATTTTGTCACAAGTTGAGAAGAGGAAAAAGATTACCATAGAGCCAAGTGTTGTTAAGACTATGAAGGACTTAAGATGTTCTGTTCCTCACTGTGAGAGACGACCTACACTACTGAGGTAACAGACTTGAGCATCAGTGACCAGGAACATGTCCCTCCTAAGACAAATAATTCGAGTATGGTGCGGTAAGTGTACACAGCTGGAGTACTGTACGTGGTGGCTCACTACTCTGTGTGACTTGTGAATGTTTGGCCACCAGAGGGAAAACTTTTAACACACTAAATATCACCCATGACAGATAATTAGTGTTTTTATCAATAACAGAGAAGGGAATAAGACACGGCTCTTCAACAGAGATGCACAGGATTTAGTCAAGCTGAAATTTATGCCACAATCTCTATTATCAATCTGCCTCACTCTGCCCTTCACAGTCAACACCTATCTTATGGCTCCTTGAGGTACAGTAAGTGATCAACCAGCCTTACTCTCACACCCTCCAGGACACAATGTCAGTACCATACAGTGTCACATTCACCAGAGCTTCAGTGTGGACAGTTTTATCAAAGTGTTGTGGGTAAAATATCAAACCTTGTGAGAGCCATCAGTCAATCAACCAGATGTAGAGAGAGGAAGACTCATCCTGATGTGAGTCAAGGTTATGTGGGTGTACAGCAGCTACAAGTTTGGGATCTTTCTATTTCACATTTTTACAAGTTAACATTCCAGTACACAGTATTTACAGGTGTGATTAAAGACATTATTAGTGGTGCTGCCTCCCTTCCTACCTCTCCACAACAAGGATCATCATCAGCCATTCTCCAACTCAGAGGAACAGTGTCAGGATCTTAACTATTTACTAAAGTTACCAGACCTATGAGAGCAGCTTTAAGTTCCAGGAGCCGTGTGTGAAGCAGTAAACACTACAGTACACAGGAGGTTAACTACCAGGCTCCTATACCTTCCAACCTTAAACTTTAACCCTAAAATCAATAATGTTCTTCCTCTTTCCCATCACCAAGTTAATCATTATCTCTGGAATTTATTAACAAAAAATTAAGTCATCCTGTGAAGACCAAATTGACTATGGAGAGATGACAGACAGACTGAAGCCAAGACACCCTTTACCGTTCATTCATAACAACAACAATAATAATAACAGTACATTACAGTAGTGGTTGAGAAGAATACCATGGCGTATTGACCTCACATCAACATCATTGTAAATCAAGTACACATAACACGAGATACAACAACTACCCATCTTACAAGCAACAATCACCAAAATAAACCACAGCTCTTCCTCTATGTGTAGTGCAGAAGATGGTGTAATTAACTATGGTGATGTACAAGGAAGGTCAATTATAAGAGAAGGTCGTGTATTAGGGAAGGTCAACGGTACTCAGGTCATTCATTACTCTGACCCTATTGGTGAGGTTAAATGTATTTCTCATAAGTATGTGTGCCAAGTATGTGTCCTGTATCATCTTGCTGGCACTGTATATTTCTCACCACTCAAGGACAGTCCACTCATTACAAAGCTAAAGCTCTCTCTCTCTCTCAAATTGAACTTAAGGAAAGGAGTTTATGCTTGGCTAGAAGGTGTAGGAGTGAGTGAGTGATCCAGCAGGAAGGATTGGGACGGCCGGGTGTGGGACAAGGGATGAAAGTGACGTAACAAAGCACAGAAAACAGTACAAGCGGCGATAACGACTCAGATAAACAAACAGATAAGATAATAGTTCAGTAACAAGCATTAACTGTTGCTGCTAATTAATATATGGCAACACAGGGTGACCACACACAGACTACACCACACACAGAGTACACCATACAACACAGACTACACCACACACAGACTACACCACACACAGAGTACACCACACACAGACTACACCACACACAGAGTACACCATACAACACAGAGTACACCATACAACACAGACTACACCACACACAGACTACACCACACACAGAGTACACCATACAACACAGAGTACACCATTTGTGCTGCACAATATATGGCAACACAGGGTGACCACACACAGACTACACCACACACAGAGTACACCATACAACACAGACTACACCACACACAGACTACACCACACACAGAGTACACCACACACAGACTACACCACACACAGAGTACACCATACAACACAGAGTACACCATACAACACAGACTACACCACACACAGACTACACCACACACAGAGTACACCATACAACACAGAGTACACCATACAACACAGACTACACCACACACAGACTACACCACACACAGAGTACACCATACAACACAGACTACACCACACACAGAGTACACCATACAACACTACATTCCCCGTCACTACAAACATAATCTTACACCTGACATCACTAACTTCTCCATCGCTAAGTCGTTAAATAACATCAACTATGACAAGGCAACATTAATACTTGTCTTATCATGTAGCTACAAGTGCCAATTAAAATCTTTCTTTAATAACCAACAACTCTGGAAATTGTTTATAAATATACCAATATCTAAAGTACAATACGGTATTATCACTATGGTAGGGTACTGTATATACTCCTATTAACTGTACGCAATTATGATACCTTCAGTTCTTACTAGGTAGCTTCCACATCTTAGAGTCTACACTGACACAAGATACACAGACAGACAGACAGACAGACACACACACACAGACACACACAGTACTGTACCCTAAGTAAATGTAAGGATTTGCTCTCTCAAACCCAGTTCTTATTTTTATTTAACTTATACAGTAGAGGGAGAAGTTTGGGTTGTTAAACAGTGATATTCATATTTAATCAAAGGAAGCATAAAGAAAGCAGTTTACTTCTTTCAGCTCCACAGTATAAGTTAAGTAACATCATCATACTGAGCCGAGTTACTTTACAAACACAATAATCTTTTCACACCAATTGTCACATCTAAGAATTTATTTGGATTTAAGAAACCTTCAGGGGCCAAAAGGATAAACACGACAACATATCTCTAAGTATTACTGTACATGGAGAGGTGAGGTGAGGTTGTACAGATAAATGGTTAGGTGAGTAAAGGACAGTATCAAAGTTGCCTCTATGACCTTCAAGAAAATATCAAAAGGTCACATGATATAACTTTCTGGGTCAGCACAGATACAAGTTCCCGTCATATTAACGTAGCTGCCATCACCACCACAACCACCTTCACTCATTACAGACAAGTTAGCAGCCCAGAACTGTACTACAGATGTAACCCATAAAATATAACATAACTTGACCAACTAACATCAAGACTATAACCAGGTGATCAAGGTACAATATACTGGTACTAATAAAGACCACAACAACAAAATAAAATAACTAACAAAATATAAATAAAAAACACGGGTATTAAATCATTCCTGCTACCTTGCCAGAGATGTTCCCCAAGTGAACTAACAGCTCCTCTCCCTCACTCTTGATGCCACTGTGTGTGTGTCATCTTGGCTTTCATGACAGCAAGTGAACAAAACAGTTTTAAAAAGTCTACCAAAGATTCCTATTCATACAAGACATTCACCATAAGTAGGGTCAGCTCATCAGAGTATCAGTAAGGTCAGCCCATCAGAGTGAAGTATTATCAGACACCAAACTTCCACTTAAATATATCCCATTAAGCCACCACTCACCTCCTTCTTCTCCTTCTGCTGTATCTTCCTGACGTCGGCGTCACTGATGGCCAGAGGGTCGCTCTCCTCGATCATCTCAATGTCGCTGCTGTCGTCCTTGATCACCTCGTCGGTAATCTTAATGTCGTCGTCGTCCTCGGTGTACTTCTTGGGGGTCCGCCGTACCCTCAGTTGCCTGGTCTCCCTGATGGGCACCTCCTGTATGTCGTCCGAGGTCTCCCTGGCCGACTTTTTCGACCTCTTTCCCTCGGACTTTTTCGGCTCCGGTTTCTCGGCCGGTTTCTCCTCTGTCACTGCATCGCCTTTCTTCTCGCTCTCCTTTTTCTGTTTGTCTCCCTCCTTATTTGTCTTATTCGTCTTCTCCCCCTGTTTATTCTCCTTCTCCGCCTCTTTGTCGTCTTTCTCTCCCTCTTCACTATCCTTATCTACCTCTTTTTTGTCTTTCTCACCCTCTTTACTGTCTTTATCTTTCACCTTATTATCTTTCTCTCCCTCACTTTTCTCCTCTTCTACTTTTTTCTCTTTCTCTTCACCACTTTCACTGCTGTCACTCTTTGCCGCCTCTTTCTCCTTCTGTTCACTCACGTCCATCTTTTCCTCTGTGTTATCCTCATCTACGGGCTCCTCCTCGTTCGTCACAACACCGTCCGCCTCCATACTTTCCTCCGAGGCGTCAACGTCATTTTGTTGTGTGTGAGCGGCCTCCTCCTCCTCCTCCTCCTCCTCCTCTTTATGGTTTCTGTTCTCTTCTGACTTTCCATTATCCTCACTATCACTTCCCTCAGAGTCTTCACCGTCACCTTTCTCTACGTCACCGTTTATCTGGGGTTTCTCCGATTCCCCGTTCTGTAGTTTGACTTCTTCCATTTCTTTCATTCCATTAATCGCTTTCACCTTTTCATTATCTGTTAAGAAGAGAAGAGGTTTAGAGTCGGGCTAAAGAGTAATGTTAGAGCCACGTACATCGTAGCTATATAATACAATGGTGTCATCAGGCCAGACATACTTCCTTCCTGCTAAATTATTCTATGCATATAAATGTAAAGGTTTAAATTGGAGCCCCAGTTTCTAGTATTACACGTGAAAAAATATAATTCCCGGAAAAACACGATCATATACCTCAAGTTTAGTGACAATGAAAGAGTGAACAAGATTTAAAGTTTATGTCATGATGAATATTAATGTCATTCACCTTCATCTGTATATGTTCAGGACACTTTAGTCGATAAACAAGAATATAAGAACCATGTGAAGATTAATACCCCATACAGGTACTCCCCGACTTACGACGGGGTTAGGGACCGACATCCAGGTCGTAAGTCGAAATGGTCGTAAGTCGGAAATGCTTAAATAACACAGAAAATAAAAAAATTGGGTCTCTTTTTCTTCTCAGCACCACAAAATGCTCACTTTTAAGCTTGCCAGCCATTTTAAAGAGAATTACAGATGAAAATTTTGTCTGTGTACTGACTTTGGGACTAAGAAATAAATAATTTGACCACATTTTGGTACGACTGTGGCGGTCGTAAGTGCGGGTGGACGTAAGTCGGGGAGTACCTGTGTCTTATTTCACCCCAAGATTAACGACCCCAAATGCTAACCTAACCAACCCCACAAGTAGCATGAGGGTATTTAATCATCAGGGAAAATAAGCTGATATTTTAATCTTCATGAGATCTGAAACAGTTTAATGAGAACAGCTTTAAACAGTTAGTTAAGCTTTGATGACAAGAGTAACACTCGTGCTTGAAAAAATTTAACGTATTGACAACAATAATTGACCAAGACTTCGAGGCTGCTTTTAATAGTCAAGGTTGACCTCAAAGGTAAGTGTACAAGTTATCTCTTATCCACACTACACTGCAGCCATAAGGACCACTAACACTGATTCATAACATATACCTATACTGTACTGTACACCTCAGCCTCTTCCTGGTCTTAAAGCTCACTAACTGTACTGGTGATAAAGTTATGACAACAAAGAGCTACAGTAAATAAGAATCACTACAGTAAAACAGTTGCTCACCAGTCGAAGATTCTTCGAGCCCTGCTGTTGCTTCACTCTCCGACATGGTGTTGGAGATCCAATCTGAAAGAGACCAAACATTGACAACAACACTGAAGATCACACAACTGTATAAGATTTATAAATGATCCTAACATTACTGATGAGTGACTCTGTCAAGGTGATCTGTTCGTCCCTCTACAGTTTTGCACTGTACTGTACCAGCAGTATCAAGTGAAGTCTTCTCTAACACATTTATTTAAGTCATCAGTCACTTTACCCTGATACATTAAGGACCTGACAACAGCTGTATAACATTCGAGATACTGTACATACCATATACAGTACCAGTACTGTACTGAATATAAAATATGTTTCTTTGCTTGCACCGAAAAATAATGCAACATTTACGAGACGTGGACAGTATGTGCCCCAACAGGACAAGTGCAACACCCAAGTGAAGGAAAGAAGAGACAACAAGTAATCATGAAACACCTTCCATGGACAAGCCAGACCCACAAGTCTAGTACTGTACAGTACATAACTCTGCCACATTCCTCATACAGTTTACTATACAGTATTTCTCAGCAATGATGAATGAAATTTAGAATTTGCACCACCTTAAGACAATATGCTGCACTGACTGACTAGTTTAATAATACAATATTACCAGCAATATAATTCTAGACAACCTACAAGTTAACAACATTGTTTCCTTGTGTGCTGTACCAACCAAACACTTATAATCTAGTGTGGTGTAACTTGTACCCAGACCAACCCTATGGTACTGTACCACCTGTCAACAATCTACCGTAACTAATGTAAATACAGTACTACAGTAGTTGGCAATCTTTAGCCACATGACTACTGTAACACAATAGTTCCTGCTGGAGGTGGCAGACAAGTGTAACACATTACCCAAACACTTCACCCTGTCACCATCTCCAAAACCTAATACTAAAACCTCTCAACCAAGACTATTTGACAAACCTTATGGATTCAGCCAATCAAATTATGGAAGCAGATGTTGCCAGCTTACAGTACACAGTAAATAAAAGACAAGAGTACTCCTGTATATGGAAGGATTAGGGTGAACTGTACCTCAAAGATAAGGCTAAAGTTGTCCTTGACCCTGACTCAGTATGAGGAAAACTTTGCCCAACTTGGAATGAATGAACTGATGAAATTCACACACTACTTATGTGACTATAAGACAAACATTTCCCCCAAGAGAAGACCTTTCTTGTACACACAGCCTTCCTTAATGACCAGACATCCTTAGCCTTCGTGTATAACCTCAAGTAACCACAGAAAATGCACGAAGCTAACAAGTTAAGCTAATCGTAGTATTAGGGTCAATAGGGTAGCTAGCTGGCAGCCACACAAATGTCTACGGCTGTGTAAAGGTCAAAGAGAAGGATTTGATCAATGGTTTTGACATTAAAGAACATAGCATCTTTAGCTAACAATATAAACTTATCTTCAATAATATACCAAGATGCCCAACAGTATTATAGCGACAAGACCCGGTTGACAACCCCTAAATGACCAAACATGTTAAAATAATTAACTGAATAACACCTTCATAATGATGCATTATTTTAAACTGTAAATACAATACAACGTCTTATATCATCTTTAACACCTTGTTGCTAATGTACTTCTTAAAAGGGAAGCTCTTTATGTGTTGAGGAGGACAGTGCCAGTGTGTGTTCAAGGAGGACAGTGCCACAGCAAAGCAGGAAAGAAATGAGAGAGAGAGAGAGAGGGGGGAGCCAACACAAGAAATACTCCCGGAAAAGATATGCACGAAGACAGCTGAACACCTCTTCCCGTACAGTACCATAGACCAAACAGTATTCAAGTCTCAGTGTGGCTGTTTCACAAATCCCTTCAACCAGTGTCCAAACATTAGCAGTATAATATATGAATTGACAGTCATAACAAACAATCACCACAGTAATGGTATAAATATTGTACATGACGCTATAGGTTGATAAATATATAGACAAAACTATAGTAGGTTTCTTCTGTCTTATGATATAGCTATACAATACAGTACCTATATATGTTTGGTAACCTGTGACTGTAATAACAATGACAATTCCATTTTGCTGGGCAGTATCATATGAAATCTATAACTTCATGAGCCTTTAAATTTCTTCAATATTATCTATAATTGTGGCTAATTACTCTAACTTGCTGCTATAAGCATTACAAACTATTATAGGTATGGTAATGACCCATCCAGTGACCTCGTTAACTGGTACACTTGGAGTTGGTCAAACACAACATTTTACCTGGGACCAACACATGAGATAAAAGTGAAAAGTCTTCATTATCAAACAGTTATATAAGTATACTATTTATAGCAACAAGTCAACTGGGTCCTGACACTAAACAAACAGTGGTGGAGATTTACTTTGTGATTATTCTCTTGATATATATACAGTATCATAACTATTAAGTTTATGGACTTAAATTACATTATTGGAGTTTTTAAGAAGAAACATTTCTCCCAGGTTCATCATGATGTACAAGTTTACTTTATTGTTGGAACGACTGATTCACTCTCATTGGTTCCACTTTGGTCGATAATTTTTAGTCATGCAAAAAGTTGGCAGAGTTTTGAAAGGAATGATTGTGGAGCTAAAATACAGAGAAAGTTATTTATAGAAAAAGCAAGATTTTTTTCTTTTTGAGAGAGAGAGGATAGGAGACAGGCCCCTGACTGTGACAAACCAAGAAAATTTTCAACTGAATCTACATATACAATAGGGTACTGTACCCTGCAATTACAAGCAACAAAATTCTGATAGTGCCTAAACCAAGTGCCTCCTTAAGTTAGGAAGCACGAAATAACAATGTACAACGGGGAAAAAAGACGAAAGACTCCATAGAAATTGTCTGAGGATATCACGAATTTTAGGAACCCCCAAATATTTCGATGAATGGAAATAAAGTCACAAGACTTGTACACATTGACAACACAATATGCTGCACAGTATATATGACGGCATTGCACGTAGGTTAAGTTAGGTTAGGTTTTTCCGCGCCTTTTTTTCCTTCTGATCTTTTTCCTGGATTCATTATTTCACCTGACAATTAAACACCCTAATATTAACCTAACCTAACCCCATCATTCAACAGCCAGGTTTAATCATCAGGTAAAGTAAGGTTGGGTTCCTATCTTCGTAAGACCCAAGTCAGAGATTATAACACAAGGATTATTGTTCACAACTGTAGGAGGGGGAGCACTGGTGGGTCACTCCATCACACAGGGGACATTAAGAAAGATGTGTGTCAAGGTTTCAAGAGTAACTTTGGGTGTTATTTCCATTCATTAGTTGATTTGTTTTTTAGTGATTAGTTCACTGTCTGTAGTGAAGATGAACACTCAGAGCATGTCATCCCTAATAACATCAAGCTACCTTTGTAAGATACAGTATATTGTACACGTTCAACTTTTATCTTTCAACATGTTTCAGTAGGTGCACATCAACCCCTGTACAGTACATGATGCTCACACCACAAATGTATTCCAGTATTTAGTAACTTTAGGCAAGTAACACATCACTGCAGCTCTGGCAGAGACTCACAATGAACATTACTTTAATTTTGTTCTTTGTCAAAATGGTTCTAAAAGAAGATCATTTTTTGAAGAAAACCATTTGATAAAACTTGTAACAAAAAGCTACAATACTGTACTAGCAGCTCACAGTCTGTTGGGGTACATTGCCAATACAAAGGTGATTTAAACTCATAACGAGGAAATACTCGTACAAAAGCTGTTGTCATCTACAGTACATCTGTGATATTAAACACAAGCCCATCATTAATGTACCGTACGCACAGCCTAAAGCAGTTGCTGTAACAACAACAAGAGTTCACACTCCAACCTCCTGTCAGTACAGTAGCTACAGGACAAAGTAACACTCATATACTGTACATATATAGCTACACTGTACAGTAATCATTTAGTGTACAGGTGAAAAAATGTACACAACTCATGAACTTTGTTTATGTAGTGCTGTCTATGTATGGCTGGTCATGAGCATGTACTGTACACAGTGCTGGCCCAGGTGGGTGGGGGAGCGCAGAAACTTTGCCATTGAAAGCAGCGAGATTCTAAAGCAATGGAGAGGTACCGGTAGATAATTAGATACATTGAGGAATTTCATTCATTCTAAGGCTGTAATTTTGACTTTTTCTTATAAAGAAAAGACAACAGTGATGCAACACACACTGTTATATACTTGTGGTTAGAAGTGCACCTGATAGGCATCATGTCCTGAGTTAGAAAAAACTATGGCTGGGCTTTTTAAATTATTGTTAAACAAATATTTGAGTGTCAATAAAGTTCACTGAAAGACAAATACTTGTGTCTATTGAGGTCAATATTAAAATTTATAATTCACTGACAACGAGTGTAAACGATACAGTACAGTACTTGATAAATAAATGGCAATAACACCCAGTAAGGGAGGTGGACTAGGTGGTGGAGTTTGATCCTTCAATGTTTTACCTTAACATTATAACTTCTCAATTTCTTTCCCTACACTTTTGGAATATACTGTAAATATATGAGAGATATACCATACTGTACTATAGTTGTAACCGGTTGTGGGACGTTTGGGTCAGGGTGGTTATGACCTAACTTAACTTAATCTAACCTAACCATGGCCACGGCAAACATCCGGTGACCCGAAAGTCTTCTCACCGTTGGAGCCCAATGGTACGAGGTCATCACTAACTGGTGCAACTAAATGGTTGAATATTTTAAGAATATCAACACCTATGTGTAGGTCTATACTAATACCATACTGTATCAAGTGTTTGGTAATATAAAGAGATTATTGGAAATATCAGAGGTTGTGTACAATAAAACTGTAAAACATAAATCCCCAGTGTCCTTGACCTCTAATACAACAGTAAATTGCATAATATCCAGGTAAGTCAGGCACACAGTACAGTACACATATAACTGGTGTGAGTATACTGTACTGTACTGTACATGGTTCAATACAATTGCACCAAATGTATATACAGTATATGTGGAACGTCCTCCTCCTCTTCTATATTCCTGTGTATGTTTGTGTACATGATCAAACTGTATGCATCTACCTGCATCAGTTTGTGAGCTTGACCACGCACAAGACTGTACTGTCACCGGGTAATGTTATACAAGAGACACCACTAATCCAGGTGTTGGGAGATTACATTTATAAAACATTAGTTACTTCAATGGGTAAACAAGTGTTTTAGGTCTGCACCCTTAATCATCCTTTGTTTTTCTTGGTATCTTTACTAAAACATTTGTTGTATTGTACAGAACAGTGAGGAAGTATTTAATATCTTATACAGGCCAGTACTTAAAGTTGCTGAAGAAACAACAAGTAGGTCATGGCCTCTGTCTCTGGCACTTTAATAAACTGATAATAATAATCATCACTGAAGGGTGTACTGTACTGTACACTCGAGGCTGGCAGTACTCACTGGTTCAGGCATACAGTACTGATCCTGTACAGTACTAGTGATTTTTTGTCCAATTTAAAGCAGAACTAAATGTAAGGATGCCTTGACCTACTTGTCATTTAATAAGTAAATTTAAAGACAGTTCTCACACTAGATCTGTTAACTACAAGTACAGTACCATACAATAAAGTAATACCTACTGTACTGTATCTCTGTTCCACCCATAACCCCCCACACAACTACCTGTTTAGTGGTGCATCTGTTGTTCCTACACACCTGAGTCAACACAGATCATCCTCACAAGAAACACAAGTACAGTGTGCATTAAGTGTGCTCGAATTACTGAACTCAGACTCGTATATAAAAACACACACACGATAATTTTTTACTGCTATTAAACAAACTACAAGTGTGCTTATAATGTGTGTAGGTACAAGTGTTCACTCATGAAAACTGATGTATCACAAATGTCATAAGAACGTTTGTGGTGTGTATGTCTACTATACACTCACACATACTGTACACACACATATGACATTAATAACAGTATATATAAACTAGCACATATTTGCTACTGTGTGTGTGTGTGTGTGTGTGTGTGAACCAGTATTTTAGGCTATGTTTACTATTGGAGGTCTTTAGTTATGAGTGTTTGTTGATTTTTTGTTTGTTTGTTTATTTATGTTTGTGTTTCTTAATGAGTGAAAGTTTTTGTTAGTTTGTTACTGAGGGTTTGTTTGAGTGTTTGGGAGAAATTGTTTGTGTAAGGGTGTATTTGTTTGTTGATACATGTATGTTTGCTTGCTTATGAGTGTTTGTTTAAAGGTCTTATTGTTTGTTCATGGGCGTGTTTGTGTCTGTTTCTGATGGCGTGTGTATATGTGTTTGTGTATAAAACCAAGCTGGGACGGTATGTTTGTGTATAAATGTTGTGTTATTAGTATAAATGACTTACTTAAACATCATACACAGCAAGTAGTATACACATAGTCTTAAGAATCCATTAACAAGTCTGGTTGAATACATAACATCTTCAAGTGAGCCTACACACACACACACACACACACACAGACACACACACACACACACACACAGTTATGTAATACTGCAACTGATGACAACACACAAGTACACATACAAATAAACAAGTATACACATATACAGTCACACACACATATATCGACATACATACATACACAAACAAGTCTATGTACACACAAACATGTGCTTGTATGTTTGGTTATATGTATACAAATACTTTTCACCAAATATTATAGAAGTGTTTGTTTGTTTGTTTGTTTATGTTTGCTTCTTTGTATGTTTGTTATTGTTTACATATGCTAGTTTGCCGTTTGTTTATGTCCGGCTACTTGTTGCTAACATATGCTTGTCTGGGTGCTTAGGTATGATTATTTGTATGTTATGTATAATGTACTTGCTTGTATGAATGATTGTATATGTAAAATTGTATGTTATATGTTTACAGTATACTTATGTTCAACTGTGTATACTTGTTTATGTTCAAATGTTCAAATCAACACCAATAAAGAATTTTGTTGAGGATAAACTTTAACAGTCTAGTACCCTACCCCACCCAATAAAGAATTTTGTTGAGGATAAACTTTAACAGTCTAGTACCCTACCCCACCTCACCCGTACCTTTACCTTTCACCTTGCCGTACCTTTACCTCACCCTGCCCAGCCTTTACCTCACCCTGCCGTACCTTTACCTCCTCCCCGTACCTCCCACCCCGTACCCTCCCGTACCTTTACCCCCACCCTGCCGTACCTTTACCTCACCCTGCCGTACCTTTACCTCACCCTCCCATGCCTTTACCTCACCCTGCCGTACCTCACCCTGCCGTACCTTTACCTCACCCTCCCGTACCTTTCACCCCACCCTCCCGTACCTTTACCCCACCCTCCCGTACCTTTACCTCACCCTGCCGTGCCTCACCCTGCCGTTTTACCCTCACCTGCCGTACCTTTACCTCACCCTGCCACCCTTACCTTTACCTCACCCTGCCGTACCTTTACCTCACCCTGCCGTACCTTTACCTCACCCTCCCGTACCTTTACCTCACCCTGCCGTACCTTTACCTCACCCTGCCCATTTCTCACGTGGTTACCCAAATTCTGTGTTGGTGGTTATGTTGTGTCTTGTTCTTTACCAGTGACGTATGTGTGGGGGCGGGTGTGTATGGTAGGTATTAGTACAGGTGAATGTCTTACGGTGTGTGTGTGTAACTTTTTGATTCTGTATTTGTCTGTGTAAAAGCGAATCTTTGAGTACTGATGTTGAGATGGTTGTGTGTGTGTGAGAGTACTGGTGTGTACAGTACAGTAAGATTAATGTTTGCGTGGGTGTACAGTACAGAAAGTCTGTACGAAGGTAATTATATGTGTGTGTGTGTGTGTGCGTGTGTCTTAAGGGTGAGTGTACAGGTACGAGCTGTATTTGTAAACAAGATTTTTGTTTACAGGTGTTTATGTGGCAGCGCGCGTGCGCAATTCCAAGTTTATACTTGTGTACCTTTACATAACAAAACACACATGTATGAGTGACCATGTACGTATGTACGTCAGACTACAATTATAACTGTATACGAGTGTGTACATTACATGTACACACATGTACACTATAACAAGCTGAGACAAGCACACCTGTGGTGCTGCAAGCATATGTATGTATGTATATATGTATGTATGTGTGTGTGTGTGTGTGTTGGGGTGGGTGAGGTTAGTGGGGTGTGGTGGTAGTGTGGTGTGGCGAGGGGGAGGTGGGGGGAGATAGAGAGAGTGGGGAAGGAGGGAGAGAGGGAGGGTGGGGTGGGTTGCTGTGTGAACGTATCCTAGATGTGCGTGTGTGTGTGTATCAGCGGGTCATGTGTACATTGAACTCTTCCATACCAGCCAGCACGCACACAGTCTCCTCCACAGACTTCCGCGTACACACACCACCCCATAGCCTGTGTGCACCCTCCCTGTCAGCGTATGTACGCATGTGTACGTCCATGTGCGTATGTGCGTGAAAAAGTAGTGGTGTCCCCCCAGTCTCCCCAAACCACCTCCCCCCCCACCCCGACCGTGTGTGCGTATGTAAGTGTGTGCGTGGTGATGTGTGTGTATGTGTGTGTGTGTACAACTTGTGCGTCCCCCTGTAACCCCCCTTCTCCCTCGCCCCTCTCCCCCCTCCCCCCGCACTGCTGCCGCTCCGCTTTGTTCCACACCACACCAACGGCGTAACCCACATCCCACTCCACCTAACCCACTCGCCGCCCCCACCACCACCCACACTCCACTCATCGCCCACTCTTCCACCCACAACAGTAGACCACCCATACACACTCCCCCAGGGATGCCCACAGTACCCACAATACCCAGTGGGTGCCATAAACAGTGGGGCGTGTGATCCCACTCGGCGCCTGTGGGTTACGACCCTGTCACCGCCCGGCGCCCTTAACTCCACAGCCGGCTGGATTCTACCCGACGGGTTACAGCTCTAACACACTTCTATCACCTCCGTAGCACCTCTATATGCCTCTACTAGCAGCAGCAGGGACAACTCCGGGTAGTGGAGGAGCAGCCAACGTTAGTGGCAGCATCACAACATTCAAAGTTGCGCGGTAAACCCGTGTTCAATGTTTGGCGCCTTCTCCAGTTGTCTGTTTCATCTGTCAGATTCATCTTAACACACTAATATCTCACTGCCGGAACCACTAGTGGCACTGTCCTTATCCTCACTGCACTCGTGCCCACTACTTACTTGATCACACACTATTTTCAAGCACAATTAACGTTAAAGTCACTGTATATTGAGGAAAGTCTAGTTAACCATCGACTCCGCAGTGCACCCGCGGTCCCAATATGGCGGCGACTGGTCACGTGACGGAAAACAGTGACGTCACCTAAAGCTCCAGACGGAGTGAGACCAGCCAATCAGCGTCAAGTTTCTACGTCACGTGACCAGCGGTGCCGCGTTCACCAATCAGGGCTCGTAGATGACGACTTATATGCCCCTATCCCCCCAAACCCCCCGTCAGCGCCTGCTACAGTAGAGGGGGACCAGGTCGCCCTCCACGTGGTCTGACCTCCTCCTCCACCACCACATGTCACCTCCTCCACGTGCTACCTCACCCACCCACACAGTGCCTTCGTCAGGTATTAACTCCCTCTGACCTGGACCTACCTGAAGGAACACCCATTACTACCTGTATTAAATACCTTCGTCAGGAGAGAATACCAGCCAGCCCCTCCATCACATTATCCTTATATTGCGATCTGCCTGACGAAGTTTATTAATGGAGGAGTCACCTGCCAATTGTTCACCTTGTCATGAGATGTATGATGGGTGGTGAAGCATAGTGGCTGGCCAGGTGAGGCCCTCCTCCCCACCAGCTGGGTGAGGACAACATGCAATAATAATCACACAATACACACACTCACACACACACACTCACTCACACACCACTCACACACACACACACATCACACACACTCACACACACTCACACTCACATGAATTCACACTCAGCCACACACCCACACTCACACACACACATTACCACACACACTCATCTCTCTACACACATACCACCTACCTATCTCAATAATACTAATAATACTAATAACACACACACACACACTCACTCACTCATCTCACACACACACACACACTCATCTCACACACTCACTCACTCATCTCACACACACACACACTCACTCATCTCACACACTCACTCACTCATCTCACACACACACACACACACTCATCTCACACACACACACACACACACTCATCTCACACACACACACACACACCTCTTCGTGGACCTCGTTGGTGGCACGCGGGGGAACAAACACCTGCCACACACACTGGCCAATACCTCACCACCAAAATAATGAACCAACATCTTACCATTCTATTACTTACATTAAAACAGGTTAAGTAAGTTTAGTCAATGTTAGTTTGGTTCAGGTTGGCATATATTAGAGTTAATGTGTTTTAACTAAGACCAGTTTAAATAGGTCATGCAAGATTAAAATTATGGTAGTTAAATTAGGACTGAATGTTAGAACTGGTTAGGTTGGGATAACTCGTGTAATATCGTGTAATAGCATACCCAATTATATAAACTATTTACTGTACTGACCTATCTAACTGTACCCACATATTGTAATCAACCCAATTATATCAACCAATTTTATGTAATATTCTACCCCATTATTCCCACCAATTATAGTGTACTAATGTGCCAAACAACGACGTACTGAAGGTTAGGTTAGGTAAAGAGTACACAGCGAGAGAGGAACTAAGATCACCATCCCGGGTATCAGTCCTGACCATCACCTCCCCGACTTGCCGCGACCGGAAACACTTCAACAAAAATGTCAACACAACTATGGATTTCCCAACCTTATTACGTTAATATTTTTCACTTAACTGAGTATAGTGAATGTCTACTGATGTGGTGTATAGTCTCAATGAAGTTTATATACCACTTAGTAAGATAGTTAAGTGGGTTAAGAACATAAGAATGGAGGAAACTGCAGCGAGCCATACCGGGAGTCCCATTTACACCCAACCCCTATCGCTCATATATCCATCCAACTTATGTTCGAGGCTATCCAGCGTGTTCGAGTTAATGGTGATATATATTATTAGGTTATAATATTAGGGAGAGGAAGAGTATAAACGTACAATGGTCGACCTTTGAGAATATATCTTTGTGTCGTCATTTACGCCACCTAATGAATGGTATACGTTTATCATGTTAAGGAAACTATGAGGTCTGGCCAATTAGTTTTTTGCGTCTGCTTCCGTAAGACAACTTATCCCATATCCCATTATGAAAATATGTTAACATACGAGGCTTAATAATAATAACAACAACTAATGATGATAATAATAGCAATAATTACAAACATTAAACGATGAAAAACACCTGTACTCATCATCACGCATGCAAGATCAGATTCAATTTGCCCGTGACCCCTGACTGACCCACGCCTTCAATACCCCATGACCCCTGACTGACCCACGCCTTCAACACCCAATGCCCCATGACCCCTGACTGACCCACGCCTTCAATACCCCATGACCCCTGCGTTTGACCTTGACCTCTGTAGCGTAACCTCACCAGGATGTTACCCCCTCAGTCTATACACAGATCACCTGAATATTAGACACCCTAACGCCGCTACCTGTTTTTTAGGTTAGGTTAGGTTTAGATTAAATTACGTTAATTAGGTTAGGTTAGTGTCAGGGTTGAAATAAGCAAGGGTGCTTAATCGTCACGTGATGAAAAACAATAACATAAAGGAGAACATAATCAGCTGACAGGCGTACACAAGGTGACGTCACGGCAGTACCTTGAGTAGGAACACGTCGCTTATAACCGGTTTATATACTCAGTGAACCGGCTGGAGTAACCTATACAATAGCTGGAGTAATTGCTATTTTATTTCATTCTCCTTTCATTAGCTGCAAACTTTTTGTTATTGTTATCAAGTTTATATTGATCAGGTTATCGGCAGGCGGTGATGGCACGGTGGTTATCACACACACACACACACACACACACACACACACACACAACACAACACACACACACACAAACACACAACACACACACACACACACACACACACACACACACACACACACACACACACAGCTGAAGTTACTGTTACGTATAGTGTCACATAACGTCTTCAAGGTCGAATAATACGTCACATGACCCAGGAGGTATTCATAGTAGTTGGTTGTCTCGTTACTGTTGACCTAATCTGACCTCTATTAAGTCATTGTTTAACACTTCTGACCTTTCCACCTGTAACATTAGAAAATTTGACCTCGTTTGACCTTTAGAAGTCGCAGATACTCTTGTTCACCCCGTATGACCTATCACTCACTCGAGGATGACCTCATATGTGGAACTGTCACTTCTGACCTTCATCATCACCACATGTTCACCACACACTACACCACATGTTCACACACATTACACCACATGTTCACACACTACATGTTCACACACTACACCACATATTTCACCACACACTACACCACATGTTCAACACTACACCACATGTTCACCACACTACACCACATGTTCACACACACTACACATGTTCACACACACTACACCACATGTTCACCACACACTACACATGTTCACACACACTACACCACATGTTCACACACACCTACACCACACATCTTACACACACTACACCACATGTTCACCCACACACACACACCACATGTTCACACACACACACCACATGTTCACACACTACACACCACATGTTCACCACACTACACCACATGTTCACACACACTACACCACATGTTCACACACTACACCACATGTTCACACACACACCACATGTTCACACACACTACACCACATGTTCACCACACACTACACCACATGTTCACCACACTACACCACATGTTCACCACACACAACACCACATGTTCACACACACTACACCACATGTTCACACACACACTACACCATATACACACTACACACATGTTCACACACTACACCACATGTTCACCACACTACACATGTTCACCCACCCTACACCATGTTCACACACACACTACACCACATGTTCACCACACACTACACCACATGTTCACCACACTACACCACATGTTCACACACACTACACCACATGTTCACACACACTACACCATGTTCACCACACTACACCACATGTTCACCACACACTACACCACATGTTCACCCACATTACACCACATGTTCACACACACTACACCACATGTTCACACATTACACCACATTCTACACACACTACACCCACATGTTCACACACACTACACCACATGTTCACACACACTACACCACATGTTCACACACACTACACCACATGTTCACCACACTACACCACATGTTCACCACACACTACACCACATGTTCACCCACATTACACACATGTTCACACACACTACACCATGTTCACCCACATTACCACATGTTCACACACACACATACACCACATGTTCACCACACACTTTCTACACACCAGCCCAAACACACAAACTTTCTACTAAACAACTTACTGGCAATTTTAAGTAACTTGTGATGTTAAGTGTTTATAGTGATACTTTAATAATAATAATAAATAATAATATAAAATAATAATAATAATATGTGATAATAAATATATATAAGAACAATAATATTAACAATAATAATAATAATAATAATAATAATAAATAACAAAATAATAATAAGAACAATATTTCTTAATATATAACAATAATACTACTACTACTAATAATATATAAAAACAGAGCCACAAGTTCTCATTAACACAGTAATTAAGTTGTTAAGAGAAAATACAAGATTTCACCACATTAGTCCGTGTGGTTATTGAGCTGCAGTGGTCACTGTAACCTACACACACACACACACACAGACACACACACACACACACAGACACACACACACACACACACACACACACACACACACAGACACACACACACACACACACACACACACACACACACACACACAGACAGACAGACGGACACCCAAGAGACTGACATATTTACAGAGTGTAGTTACAAGAGGACTGTAGTTCCTTTAGATCATTAATAATAATAATAATAATAATAATAATAATAATAATAATAACTTTAATAATTTTAATGCAGTGTGATAAATTATGAACATTTCCAAAGGTGAAAAATAAAATAAACTAACCTAACCTCACAAAACATAACCTAACCACACATAACCACTCAGGTCAGTCAGTCATCGATACTCTCCCTCAAGTGTGTACTGTAAGTCGTATTCTTGAGTCACACTTGAAAACAATAATATTCT